CGGCCTGCCGAGCTGAGCCTCTTCAGCCTCAGCTCTGTAGGAGGCCAGACAGGAAACCCACTGCCTGCCCGCAAAGCTATCTTGCATAGCTAAAACAATTGTTAGCTGGAGCTAGCTAAAGCACGATGGAGTTTTACCTCCCCCCTCTTCTCTCCTCTCCCTTCACTTTAAGGTTTCCCTTCTGACCTTTCTATGGACTTCGGTTGGTCGCCATTAAGGAGCCTGGTAGGATTTTTTTCCACTTGGCAAATTGGCACCGCCCATTTGGTTTTTCGCCTACCTCGTAGCAAATTGTCACAACTCCTTGGTTCTGGCGGTTAGGCATTGGTAGGGGTATTGTTATGTAGATGTGTTGGGGGGGAGGAGCACCATCACCTCCCCCAAATATTGAAGGGTAGTTCGGTAAAGGATTCCGGGGGGCGTGGCCTCGTCCGAAGCCTATGGAGGCCAGGGCCTAAAGTATGCCCCCGAGCGGTGACCCTGGGGGAGTACCTAGTTGATGTGCATCAGCAGGGCTCCCCCTGCTGGTGTTAAGCCTTCCCAGTTCTCAAGCTAACAGGCTGAAGCCGGATAGTCTGATAGGACCAATGCCTAAGCCATGCTCTTACCTGTAACCAATAAAGTTGTAGCCAATTCTAGCCCATTAACCTTAAATAATTGTGTCCTGTGTCTTTATTCCTACTGGGGGGAGGCGGGAACTCGCCACGCAACTGAGTTGGAGGGAGCAAAGCAAACCAGGTACCAGAAAAAGCCTAGAGGCCAACTTAGGCCAACCAGAGGCAACATGGGATAAAGCAATGTTGTACCACGTCAATGTCATAGCTTCCCCCAAGGAATCCTGGGAGCTGTAGTTTGTTAAATGGTGCTGAGCGTTGTTAGGAGAATCGTATTCCACCGCCAAAAAACCAATGTTGTAGGGCACAATGTGCCGGTGTTTGGCACCGCTTTGGAGTGAATCGGACAACGTTGGGTTTTCAGTGAAACTGTGACCCTGTGGGTTATGGTGCCAAGGGCTCATTTTACATCCTACTGTGAAATGTTGGGTTTGCACTGCCAAACCTTGCAGGGGTCCATTTGCCAGTGTTTGGCGCCACTTTCAAGCAAATCGTTCTTTGCGAAACCGTGACCGTCTACCTGCTTCACAGCCACTGAAGCAGGACAAGACTTTCTTTGGAACTAGGAGAAGACTCAGTTTGTGTTACCTAATGGGTCCTGGCTGGCTTCTATAAATATCCAGACAGCTGTCCGCACCCAGCACAGCTGGAGGACCAAAGCCCGAGGGGATTGCCATTTTGCCGGATTGCCTTGGAAAGAAGTGAGGCAGGAAGACAAGATGCTGTGTGGTTAAATAACAGAACTGGAGTGCCCGGAGGTGGTTGGAGGCTGGATGGCGGCTAACAGATTGAGGTTGAATCCTGACAAGACAGAAGTACTGTTACTTGGGGGGACAAGGGATGGGCGGGTGTGGGGGACTCCCTGGTCCTGAATGGGGTAACTGTGCCCCTGAAGGAGCAGGTGCGCAGCCTGGGAGTCATTTTAGACTCACAGCTGTCCATGGAGGCGCAGGTTAATTCTATGTCCAGGGCAGCTGTCTACCAGCTCCATCTGATACGCAGGTTGAGACTCTATCTGCCAGCGGACTGTCTAGTCAGAGTGATGCATGCTCTAGTTATCTCCCGCTTGGACTACTGTTCTACATGGGGCTACCTTTGAAGGTGACCCAGAAACTACAACTAATCCAGAATGCGGCAGCTAGACTGGTGACTTGGGGCGGCCGCCAAGACCACATATCACCGGTCTGGAAAGACCTACATTGGCTCCCAGTACATTTCCGAGCACAATTCAAAGTGTTGGTGCTGACATTTAAAGCCCTAAACGGCCTTGGTCCAGTATACCTGAAGGAGCATCTCCACCTCCATCGTTCTGCCCGGACACTGAGGTCCAACTCTGAGGGCCTTCTGGCAGTTCCCTCCCTGTGAGAAGTGAAGCTACAGAGAACCAGGCAGAGGGCCTTCTCAGTAGTGGTGCCCACCCTGTGGAACGCCCTCTCATCAGATGTCAAAGAAATAAACAACTATCATTTAGAAGACATCAGAAGGAAGCCCTGTTTAGAGAAGTTTTTAATGACTGATGTTTTAAAGTATTTTTAATCTTTTGTTGGAAGCCGCCCAGAGTGGCTGGGGAAACCCAGCCAGATGGGCAGGGTATAAATAAATTATTATTATTATTATTAAAAGCTGTTTGGAAAGAAGAGGGCTGAAGGTTGAACTGTGTTTGCTAATATGCAAAAGTTTTAAAGGAAAGAGTGGTTGGCAAGTTAAAGAAAGAATTGATTGTATTAAACTTTTGCATATTGGACATACAATGTTAACACAATCTAAGTGAGAAATACATATGATTAATGCTGAAAATTAACTAATGAACTAACTAATGAATTCTAAAGTGATTTGGTGATAAAATTAATTAGAATTAGAATTGAAGTGAGATCTTAAAAATTAAATATCTGACTTGATTGAAGATCATTTACATAATGCAGTAGAACTTTATTTACAATGAATTATTCATATGAACTTTAATGAATTATAATTTAAACAGGGAACTAATTAATTGATGGAATAAATATCTGATAAGTAACTCATCGGTAATTAAAAGAAAATATATTCAGATCATTGGTGTGGATGGGGTGTCAATAACATAATTATTTAGAAAGCCTAAACCAGCTCAGCAGGGAACTTCTTGGGGCACTAAAACAGGACTGGCATTTGGTTAGAAAGTCTGTCTCCTAAGTGTGGGGAGCAATCGTAAAAAAAGCTCAACTTTTGGGCAAAATCCAAAAAAAAAAAACTCAACAACTTTGACCTGCCCTCACGCATGTTCACTTCATCAAATCTGACCCTCTTTGAAAAAAGTTTGGACTCCACTGGCATACAGTAACAATTATGGGGAAAGTTGTGGAAAAGAAACATTAATTTCGCGGCAAGTTATGCAATAAAAGAAAACATGATGAAAACAGCCCATGGACCGTAGTTAACACCCACCATATTGGCAAAAATGTCTTTTAAAAAAACCAAAAGTGTATGTTGGAAGTGGAATGAAATGGAGGGATCTTTTATCCAATGTGGTGGTCCTGTAAAATAATTAAGGAATATTGGGAAACTATATATAATGAATTTAAAAAGATACTCAAATAGACTTTCCCCCCAAACACCTGAGATTTTCCTCTTGGGGATGGTGACTACGGAGGTCAAAAAGAACCACACAAGAGTTTATTACTATACACCACCGCCGCAGCTAGAACTTTATTGGCAAAAAGGTGGAGAACAAGTGTAATACCCACTAAGGAAGAATGGCAGTGTAAAATGTTTGAAATATGCTGAATTGGCTGGTCTGATGAACAGGATAAGAGAACATGAAGATGAGGAATATACAAGAAGGGATGGATAATGTTTATTGAATATATTAAGAACCAATATAGACAAATACACAGCTTAGCAGGTCTCGAAGAAATCCAGAAGAGTTGAAACACATAGGAGTTTTTAACAGATGACAAATTGGATTATTGAAAAGATGCGGATTACAGGGACTAGCAGAAAAGGAACCAGGAAAAGGCTGGAAGGGAAGCCATATGTAGACATCATGTATTTGGCACGAAGCTGCAAATGGGACAAAGGAAGGGGGCTAAAGACGCTCTCTGTTCTTGAAAATGCAAATAAAAACCTGTTGGAATGAATTCACGACAGATGAGTGGCAGGTGTCATGTGAGAGGCGTCTGCCGGGGCAAGCCCCGGGAACTCTCTTTTATTGAATATTACAAACATTGCCACAGGTGTGCTTGTGGCTGATTGGTTGATACAAACACAAAGCAACTTGTTGCTGATCTGTTAACATAGGTACAAGGCGGGAATTACATATAAACATTAATCACCGATAGATTAAAGGCTGGGAAACGGAGCTGGAACTAGACAGGCATGAAGCCTCCTAATTAAATTATAACTAAAGATTGATATAGCATGACTAAAACAATTACTAATGATTGATCATAACATGAAAGAATATAATAATCGAGTTCCGTAGATGTGGTCAGCTATGCATTAAGAACAGATCATATTGTTTGTTCATGAACTTAAAATGAACTGAGGAATGAGGGAATGTCTTGGTGTTTAGAACAGGTTTGTACAGTGTGTGCAGAAGCAGAGAAAAGATTATTAAGATCAAGGATTAGGTTTAAAAAAAAGTTGAAGTTATATATTTTAACATTTTATTAAATTAAAGATTGGGATTAAAAAAGTGGAAGAGAAACTGCTGGACAAATAATGTGGACTGGAATACAAAAGAGGGAGGTATGAGGAAGTCTAGAAAATAAGTAATTTAAAATTGGAAATGGAAAAGAGAGTTTGTTCTTAATTGTTGTGTTTTGTGTTTTTATTGTTAAGTTTGGTATTGTTTTTTGTGTGTGTTGTTTTTCTTGTTTTGTTGTTTAAAACTTTAATAAAAAAATTATTAAAAAAAAACAAAACAGAAGCAGAGAAAAGATTATAAGCGAGACTTCCCAGAATGCAAGAGAAAAGAAGCAATACTTCTCCCATAATGCCACAGTTATGTGCAGAAAGAGAACTTCCCTTTAAAAACCAATTAAAAAGAAGAAAGCATTGGGTAAAGGCACGGAAGCCCCGCCTGCCCCCAAGGTCACGCAAACGCCGAGACGTCCGGCACCCATGCGCAGCCGACGGGCCTCTATACAACCGTGCAAAAAAAATCATTGCGGGCTAGATCTTCCCTGTTAATTGCGCAGGAGCCTGGTCCTCACAAAGAGAGAGGAGAGGCGCGCTGCTCTTCAACCCCCTTTTCCCCCTCCTAACTCCAAGCGCGTCGCACGAATAGGCACTTCCGCCACTCGCTTCCCCGCACATGGCGGAGGCCGCCCAATGGCAACCGGAAGGGGGGGCTGCGTCGTTGCGTCACGGGAGCGCGGAACTCTACGGGTTTTTTTTTCTTTTTTTGGCGGCGGTTTGATTCCTCCCAAGATGGCGGCGGCGGCTTTCCCTCAGTCGTTCTGCTTCCGCCGCAGCCGTTCTGGCTGGGACGGGACGGCGGGAAGGAGAGCGGCGGCGGCGGCGGCCGCTCCGGCCTTGGTGGCGTTGGCGGCCGCCGTCGCCGCCGCCGTCGCCTCGGCTTCGCAGGACCCCGGCGCCGCGGCGGGGCGGCCAGTGAGGGAGCTAAGCGGGTCCAACTGGAGCCTCCTGCTGCAAGGCCAGTGGATGGTCCAATTGTGAGTCGCTGGCGGCGCTTCGGGGGCTCTCGGACTACGACTCCCGTCGGCCCCTGCGCGAGCGCGGCCCTCCGGGGCTGCTGGGAGTTGTAGTCCAAAGCTTCCAGGAAGGGCGGGGCGGGGCCACCACCAAGCAGGCTGGTCTCAGAATTGCTCAGGATCTCAATGGAGGAAGCTGGACCCTGGTGGGGGGGCAGTCGGTGGGTTTGGAGGCTCCCTCTCTCTGGCTCCTTTGGGCTTCACCGTGCACATTTTTTTTAACATTGATTAAATTTATACCTGGAGAAATGGGAGGGACCCCAGCGGGTCATCTAGTCCAGCCCGCTCCCCTGCCTTGCAGGGCTCTTAAGGTGCCAGCCCTCATGCGATTCAAAACCATACTAGACCATTCTTCTGGAGTTGATTCTGACTCTCTGATTGTCTTCTGCAATACAGTTAAGGTCATTTCCTTTTAGGTGGCTTGCGGGTGGGAGTGCGGGGGTGGGGAGGCACAAGCATTCACCGTTTTCTTGTTTTGATGCTGGGGATTAAAACAAGAAAACTATGGAATCCATCCTGACAAGTCGGCCTGGAGAGCTCAGTGGGTTGGAGCGTGGTGCTAATAACGGCAAGGTTGAAGGTTCTGATCCCTGTACAGTGGTACCTCGGGTTACATACGCTTCAGGTTACAGACTCCGCTAACCCAGAAATAGTACCTCGGGTTAAGAACTTTGCTTCAGGATGAGAACAGAAATCGTGTTCTGGCGGCGCAGCGGCAGCAGGAGGCCCCATTAGCTAAAGTAGTGCTTCAGGTTAAGAACAATTTCAGGTTAAGAACAGACCTCCAGAACAAATTAAGTACTTAACCCGAGGTACCACTGTATGGGACAGCTACATATTCTTGCATTGCAGAGGGTTGGGCTAGATCAGACACATCCAACTCCCAAGAGACTGCAATCTACTCCCAGTACTGTATCAAAAATCTGGCAGTGATCTACCCATTGTCACTGGAGGGAGAAAGAGTGTGCGCGGGGTGGGTGGATGGAAGGGGAGGATTTTGAGCTTTTTTGGGGAGGGGAAGCCAACTAAGGTCAGCAGCAAACTAAAACATCACCCTATTGACGCTACATAGGGACAGAGTGAGGGGGCGGGGCTTTTAATCCTGCAATCGATCGGGATACCACAATTGACCAAGATCACTCTGGGATCTATCTGTTGATTGCGGTCAACCAGTTGGACATTGCTGGGCTAGATGATTTCTTGGCATCCCTTCTAGCTCTACAGTTCTAGGATTCTAAGAGGCGTCCTTTCCACTGTCAAACAGCGTTTACCGTCAGAAAATTATTCCTGATGTTGAGTTGGATTCTTGTACAGTGGTACCTCGGGTTACATACGCTTCAGGTTGCATACACTTCAGGTTACAGACTCCGCTAACCCAGAAATAGTGCCTCAGGTTAAGAACTTTGCTTCAGGATGAGAACAGAAATTGTGCTCCGGCGACGCGGCAGCAGCGGGAGGCCCCATTAGCTAAAGTGGTGCTTCAGGTTAAGAACAGTTTCAGGTTAAGAACGGACCTCCGGAACGAATTAAGTACTTAACCTGAGGTACCACTGTAAATCCATGGGTTCAGGTCCTAGCTTCCAGAGCCAGAGAAAGCAAACTTGCTGCATCCTCTATGTGACAGCCTTTTAGATCCTATCTCATCTCAGACTCCTCTTTTCCAGGGTAAACACAGCTAACTCCCTCAAATGTTCCTCACATCCTGCCCTTCTTCCGGTTTTTTACGGTGCTTTGTTGGTCTTGTTCTGTTTGCTGGTCACTGATTATCAGGCAACATCACTCTCACCTGGTGGGATGGCTTGTGTTTCTTACCTATGCTCCTATCTCAGGGTTGGCCCACTCAGGAGGCCAGGTGAGGTGATGGCCTCAGGACAGCAGCATCCACAGGGACAGCAATTCCCAATTTCAATCTCACCATCCCACCTGTGTTCCTGATGTAAATCTTCACTCGCTCCTTCTTCCCTGTTGGGGAGGGAGCTCTTTTTGTGGGGATCGATCGTCTCAGGTGCCCAATGTATTAGGCCGGTCCTGCCTATGAATCTTCATGGCATTTAGAGATGTGTATGCCCATGGCTTTTTTTAATTTTAGGGATGTCAAATCCCACCCATAGTTCTTAAAGGTAAAGGTAAAGGGACCCCTGACTGTTAGGTCCAGTCACAGACGACTCTGGGGTTGCGGCGCTCATCTTGCTTTGTTGGCCGAGGGAGCTGGCGTACAGCTTCCGAGTCATGTGGCCAGCATGACTAAGCCGCTTTTGGCGAACCAGAGCAGCGCACGGAAACACCGTTTACCTTCCCACTGGAGCGGTACCTATTTATCTACTTGCACTTTGACGTGCTTTCGAACTGCTGGGTTGGCAGGAACTGGGACCGAGCAACGGGAGCTCACGGGGATTCGAACTGCCGACCTTCTGAGCAGCAAGTCCTAAGCTCTGTGGTTTAGACCACAGCGCCACCCGCGTCTCCCATAGCTTCTTAGCTACCTAATAATGCGGCACAGCTTTTCTCTTGCCTTGGTAGGCTGGTTGGAGGCGTATTGAAAAAGGAGACACCTTTTTAAGAATTTACAGAAGAGCCCCATTGGGTCGGGCCAATGGTCCAACTAATCTAGCATCCCTGTTTCCCACTGTGACATCCAGTTGCTTATGGGAAACTCCTGGACATGAAAGAAACAGCACTCCCCGCCCCCCATATGCTCCCCAGTCATGAGTAGTCAAAGGCATATTCTGCCTCTGCTACTGTGAGTAGAAACCATTAATCTCCACATTCTCTCTCTTTTTCTTTGCATTTAGGGTGTAACTGTATGTAGAGCTTCTGTAGTCATTCTGCCAACTTTGTAAAGTAAATAACTATATCTCTGTATTGCAGATTAGAGGTTAGACGGAGGAAGAAAGGCAGATCTGCAAATGGCCACTTACTTTCTGAATTTATGGCAGAGATTGCTGCTTTAAGAGATCTGTGCTATAACTGGTCATTGCGTACATCTGACTGGGACAGAGAAGGCTGTCTTAGTTTAGGCCATGCAGGCATAGATAACTTTTTAAAAATAAAAATAAAAAGAGAGCAATAGACAGCTTAAAAAATGTTTCAGCTGAACCATTTGCATACACATTTTCTAGAGGATGTTTGTTAACATGGCAGCTGGTAACTCGAGCACAGCTTCCTTTTGCACATTTTGGGCCTTCATAGGATGGGATCTACCAGTAATTTGTATGGAAACTGCTGAAGTGTTGTAAAACCACTTGTCAGAAACTGGAAGACTGACAATCTGCTTACAGCTCCCGTTGATTTTTTAATTTTTTTAAAAAAGGATAAATTGAATAATAGCAATTCAAGAGAGGGATCTACTACAGTTTAAAAGCAAAAAAAATACTGTGTTAGAAGCTACACGTTCAAGAACTTAGCTGTTTTCTAGCAAAGAAATGACAACCACATCTGAAGAAATGTGTTTTATGAGTATAAAGAGGATATGGCCCCTTTGTGGTGTTCCTGCTTGGATCAGGATCTATGAACTGAATCTAGTTAGACTGCCCAGAGTTATATTTTTGTATAACAGTTTTTAAGGCACTGAAAGCGGCTGTAGTTTGGAATCCAAAGTTTGCTGCAGTTGTCCTCTAAATTTGTCTTTATTCCTAGATGGACAGTTCCTAGAAAGTGTGTGCAACACAAACGCTGGTATTAAATAGCAGTAAATCCTTTGGTAAACTTGAACTCATGTTAGTTTACTTTGTGCACAAAGAGGATATTGACAGGCATGTTTTTTAATTATTTATTTTATTATATTATAACAGAATAGTTGGCCTTAAGGGGACATTAACATTGGCCTCTGTCCAGCAGCATATTATCCTGACACTTTCTGCATGGGTAGGGAGCTTCAGATGTTAGCAATTTTGGTGGGATATACACTGAAGAAGAGGAATTTGGAGGTGGGAACTGTCTAATTCAATGAATGTAAAGGAAGAATTGCAAAATGGTGATGTATTGGCGCAGCAGGGGGATAGCTTTGCTCATTAAAAATTTTCAGGGCGACATTAATATCCTTCAGCTGAAAGGTTAAAATTGGGAGCCCACTATTTATTCTCAAATTCTTTTTCAGTCAAAGGAATCTTTGGCATGCTCTTTGGCCGAAAGGTTTCTCAAAGATCAATAACAAAGACATTCTCAGCATTCAGGGTTACAGTCTAAAAGACATGAATTTGCCAGTTCAGCTTGCCTCCCACAATGGTACTCCTACCAAATCAGTGTTGCTTCTGTTGATACACAATGGTAACTATTGTTGAAGGTCAATCCAGGCGAGACTGGAGCAATTCATAAGCGTGTGTTCTCACTCACACACTTTCTCAATAATTTGCTTCAAAGTAGAAACCCTCCTTGCTAGAGCTCACAGAATGTACGTCTGCAGCAAAGCACGTTGCAGGTGTCTATGTGGATGCCACTGATCTGTATTCTGGCAATGTGTAGCTGAGAGCATGCATGCTCTCTCATACATTTATTTCCCAGGTCTTGTTTCACTTTACCCTACCAGCAGCCCATCATGTATTATCCAACTGCACATTACTGAGCATATGAGGATTTGGTTGTGCTCATGTCACCCAGCAGCCCACTTGGCCCCAGATACATGTTATATAAACATCAAACATTGAAAAACAAAATATCATATACAAGCAACAAACAAACCAATAAATCAATGGAAACTACTACTACTACTACTAGTACTTCTACTAACAGTGTCTGAAATAAGTGTTGACATTTTGGGTCTGGAAGAGAGCCCAGGCTGGGTCATCATGGTGTCTAGAACTAGAAATAGTTGTCTTGGATGCCGATACAATGACCTAGAAATAAATTTTGCATCCTTTATTTCCTGGAAATTTCAAGAACTGCATGGGGAGTGTGTGCAGAGGAAGAAGGCAGAGAAAGTTATGTTTCTGTTTGTTTAGTTTAGCTTGCGTAGTTTGCTTACCATATACCTTTATTCTGTCAAGACAAAGTGGCTTACATTAAAAGATAAAAATACACCAAAACAAGAATTTTAACTATCATTCTGTTATGTACACTAGATTCAGCCGCAATGGAAACAATTAGAATACAGCAACTTAGCTTAAAAAATCCAATAGATAGCTTTTGATATGTGAGAGGCAGCTGCTAATAGTCTGAAGATCGGCAAATAGGGCTCCAAGTGTATATTCATCAAGAGGGAGATTTGCAGTCTTGCTGCCACCAATGAGATGGCCCTGTTCTTGTGCCTGCCTGCGGGATCTCGTTTTTTCAGGCTGGGGAACCTCTGGATGTTGTTAGACTCAATTCCCATCAGCCCCAGCCTGGCCAATGGTCAGTGATGATGGGAGATGGGTCAGTAATGATGGTCCAGCAACAGCTGGAGGGTCACACATTGCCCCCCTTTGTGCCAGTCTTATATGAATGGACACCACAGCTGAGCCTAAAAGGCCAGCCAGGTTCTTATGGGATTATTTCTGAGGTGGCCTGGTCTAAAGCCATTAAAGGCAAACACCAGGGCTTTGAAACAGGCCAGGAAACAAATGGGCAATCCATTCAGGTGATACAAGACTGGAGTTGCTTGCTTTCTTGCTTCTAGTGCCAGGAAGCATTTTGTGCCAGGTGGAAGTTTTAGGACTATTTTTAAAGGCAGCAAACATGACAATAACGTAGTCTGGAGTAATGTGGTGGAAATATACAGACAACTCCAAATTTACGCGGGGGTTATGTTCCAAAGCACTGTGTGTTTTAAGTGAGATCGCATATATTTGAAACACCACACTCCATCTCGTTTTGTGGCGTTTTTGTGATGTTTTTGGTTTGGTGTGATGTAGCACACACATTGGACGTGCCTAAATTGTTCTCCGCCCGTGACTGATATTCCTCAGGGAATTTCCCATTGGTGATACATTGCAGACTTTCCAGATATGGAAATGTGTGCAGTCATTAAATCATGTTGTCACTTTCCTTAGCTATGCCCCTTGGTGTCCCGCTTGTCAAGAGATGGAATCGGCATGGGAGGCTTTTGCAGAAAACAGCAAAGACCATGAACTCAGTGTGGGCAAGGTGGATGTCACTCAAGAACCAGGTAAGCCAAAATTATCTTTTTATAGTGGGGAACTTTAATACAAATATATTTACATACTGGTTTTCAATATGGTATTCCTTATTCATTGTTAATTTATGGAACTGAAAATCCAGCATTTCCAGTCAAAGACGTTACTTCTTCAGTCAGTGTGGCAAACCTCTAGCTGCAGACATGGGTTCCCATCTGGCCTGGGAGCGTATTTCTCCCAAACCACAGCTGCTTTTTTTGTCATAGGTGGGGCCAATAGAATGAATGAATGAAACTTTATTTGCGTCAGCCATTGGCCATAACAAAAGAACACTGCGATATACACAGAACAAAATAAAAAGTCGCTTATATAAAACACAGTTTAGGGTCCTGAATCAGCCGTCTGATTGCCGTCTGATTGTTCTGATTGCTCCAGCTAAAAACCTTGCAACCTTTGCTGTCATCTGTTCCTCTTGATCTGCCAGGAGAAAGGACACTGTGGCAGTGGTTGGGCGACCCAGAATGGACAATAAAAGAGGGGTGGTAATCTCGTTCCTCAGGTCTTTGTAAAGAGTGCACGCCAGGAGGGCATGTGCCACTGATTCGGTACTGCCATCTACGCAGGGACATAAGCATTTTTCGTGTGGCATCTGTTGGAATCGTCCCTCAAGTACAGCCGAGGGCAATACATTCAGTCATGCATGTCTATATTTGCCAACCTAGCAGTTCGAAAGCATGTCAAGTGCAAGTAGATAAATAGGTACCGCTCCGGTGGGAAGGTAAACGGCGTTTCCATGCGCTGCTCTGGTTCGCCAGAAGCGGCTTAGTCATGCTGGCCACATGACCTGGAAGCTGTATGCCGGCTCCCTCGGCCAGTAAAGCGAGATGAGCGCCGCAACCCCAGAGTCGTCCGCAACTGGACCTAATGGTCAGGGGTCCCTTTACCTTTACAGATAGGGTGCCAGAGAATCAAAGTGGGAGGATGGAAAATGGTCACACCATGGGCTAAATTTCCTTATTGTGGCCTAGTTATTCTGACGCTCGATATCATTTAGGCGTTGACAAATTAGACTGGGGCAGAGAGAGATGCAAGTGCAAATATATGATCATGAACCTTCAAGTTCACTCTTGAATGTGCAGTGGCAATTGATGCATGGAGAATTTTCGCAGGCTTAAATTCACCAGCGATGATTTGATAGGCTGCAACTTCAAGCCTTTCTTGACTTGGCTTTTCTTTTGCAGTCATATTGCAGGACAAACTGGTCATCTGGCATCAAAGCAGTGTCAGATGATTGACAGGTGGGCAGGCCCCCATCCAGCTGTCCAAAGTGGCATGCTGCGGTTGGGGGAAGCAGCCAGGTCCCAAACTCTGTACTATGGCATGCATCGTTAACTAGACATATTTTAAGTCTATACTGGAACATTGCTGCTATTGTGGGAATATGATAAGTTAACTACAAGTTAACTTGAGCGTTTGGCTGGACGAGCTGGAGCACGGTGTTCTTTGATGTATTCAATTTGCCCCAGATGGCAAGAGGTCTGGGAACCCTTTATGTAAATTTTCTACCCTTGACCTGAGTTGTGCTACTGCTCATCTGCTCACTTAAAGTTAGCAATGCTTTTATGCATGCTAACTAGAGGATGTTCAGGGTTTTGCTGGAGGACATCTTAAAAATTATCCATTAAAATGAGGAAATAATTGAATCTGAAGAGTAGGAGTTGTCACCTAATTGTAAGTGAGGCTTTGAGGCTTGGGCAAAAAATCAGTATGAATTTCAAGAGAAGCTAAAAGAGTTTTGATTAGCAAAAGTTCTTGCTGGGTGTGCCTGTCTTTTGCCTTAACCATACATGCTGCTGCAGGTAGCTCACAAAAACACATACTGATAACATCTTTGCATTTAATTCAGTGATTGGTTATTCATGCTCCAACTTCACTTGTTGCTCCTCCCTGGGTGATGGTGATTAACATTTTCAGCCATTCCACTTCATGTCACTAATTATTAGTTTTTTGTTCCGTTTGTTTATGAGATTTGTTGTTCCGTTTGTTGTAGAGATAAAGCCAGATGTGCAGTAGCTGCAGCTATAGTTCCACCCCTCCTTTGGAAGGCAATTGCTGTCGCTCAGTTTAATAGCAATCTGTGTGGCCTGCTTTAAGTTGGCCCATACAAATCTATCATATGCTGATTAACTCTAACCAGATTTTTTTATTTAAATCAGATTTTTTTGATTTTAATCGAATTTTTAAAATAAAATTCTTTTGGAGGAAAAATCTTTCTAAAGACAGTTTTCTGTTTAAGTTACATTATAGGCTATTCATCAGGAAATAAGGATTTGTTTTAAGTTTTTCATGTGTGCTAAAACTCAGTCTAAGGTGTTTTTTTTAAAAAAAAAAGTTTAACCACATCAGTTAACAAACATGGATACATGTCCTATAATGTTATTGTTTTAGTTAAATAAAATGTTTAAATTGTTATTAAGGAAATGATTATTTTTCTCCTTCCAATAAAGTACAGCAGAAAAGTTGTCCAAGTGTAAACAGTTAACTTATTAAACCTCACAATAATTTCATAATTATCTGTCTATGTATTTCTAATAATATAACCAAATCAGTAAAACTACTCTGAAAATTTATTATTCCAAACATGAAATCTTCATCTGGTTGTAAGTATTAAGATTATACCAGCAAGAATGAGTCTTTCTGTAAAAAAATGATTTAAATTGTGATTTAAATTGTGATTTAAATCCACCCTGAACCTAAGCAGCACTCTGCTCCTATAAATATAGTCATACTTAATTTACTACATCCTTGCTGCCAGATTGTGCACTTAATGGTGCAATCCTTTGCACGTCTACTCAGAAGTGAGTCCCATTGAGTACACCGTACTCATGCATGCATATAGGATTGCAGCTTAAGTTTCACTATAGCTGAAAAGTTACTCAGTTACGTAATCAGTGTTGCTGATAACAAAATGAACATTGGTTCCATCATTTGCTCCCACACCGCTTGCTCTGTGGAAGGGGTCTCTTTACTTGCCTAGCAGTTTTGGGGGCCCCAGGCTTCTGTAAAATGTATCGTGGCTAAAATCCTCCATTGTAGATGAAAACTGAGCTGGGAAAAGGGGTGGCTACAATAGCGCTAGAGGAATTGTTGATAGCTGTCAGTAGTTCTAGTACAGTGGTACCTTGAGTTACAAACGCCTCAGGTTACAAACTCCTCTAACCTGGAAGAGTTACCTCGAGTTGAGAACTTTGCCCCAGGATGAGAATGGAAATCGTGTGCCGGCGGCGCAGCGGCAGCAAGAGGCCCCATTAGTGAAAGCATGCCTCTAGTTAAGAACAGTTTCAGGTTTAGAACGGACCTCGAGAATGAATTAAGTTCGTAACTAGAGGTACCACTGTGCTAGTAGCAGTAGCAGTAGTAGTAATAATAATAATAATAATAATAATAATAATTTTATTATTTATACCCTGCCCATCTTGCTTGGTTTCCCCAGCCCCTCTGGGCGGCTTACAGTACATAAAAAATGGTAAAACATTAGACATAAAAAATGTCTAGGGTTTTCATAACTACAATCGTACCTCGGCTCCCGAACGTCTTGGGAGTCAAACATTCTGGCTGCCGAACAATTGAATACCGGAAGTGAGTGTTCTGGTTTTTGAACGTTCTTTTGGAAGCCAAATGTCCGACAGGACTTCCAGTTGGCTGCAGGATCTTCCTGCAGCCAGTCAGAAGCCGTGCTTTGGAAGTCGAATGGACTTCTGGAACAGATTCTGTTCAACTTCTGAGGTACGACTGTATTTATTTTTCAGCAGCAATGGCTGACTATTGGCAAGGCTAACTGGGGCTGCCCTTCTGTCAGACACTGCAGGCTCCCTATCCCAGTGTTACAGTAAAAAGATAAAGGGACCCCTGACCAATTGGTCCAGTCGTGGCCGACTCTGGGGTTGCGGCGCTCATCTCGCTTTATTGGCCGGGGGAGCTGGCGTACAGCTTCCGGGTCATGTGGCCAGCATGACTAAGTCGCTTCTGGCGTACCAGAGCAGCGCACGGAAACGCCGTTTACCTTCCCACCAGATTTATCTACTTGCACTTTGACGTGCTTTCGAACTGCTAGGTTGGCAGGAGCAGGGACCAAGCAACGGGAGCTCACCCCGTCGCAGGGATTCGAACTGCCGACCTTCTGATCGGCAAGTCCTAGGCTCTGTGGTTTAACCCACGGCGCCACCCGTGTCCCAGTGTTACAGTACTGATGTACTAAACAGTAGATTTTTAGTTATGCTCAATCACCCACAGGCTGGAAACCGAAATGGACAACTAGTTTTGGGGACCAGTTTCACACACAGCGTAAAGTGACGGTATTAATTTGGTTTGTTATACAACTGTGTTTAGGAAAGCAAAATAATGTCCTGGGGGAAAACTACTGAAAATGCTTTTTTACTTCCTTAGGCGTAAGTGGTCGCTTCTTTGTTACGACACTCCCCACAATTTACCAGTAAGTATCTCATTTCATTTGTCTGAAAAAGGCAGCTGTTTGCTATTGGAAGACAGTATCTGTCTGTGCCAGTTTTGGGGGGCTGGAATAGTGTGAGGATAAGCAGAACAACAGAGGTCATGGAAAAACGTGGGCCAACTGTTGGTGTTCTGGAGAATGTAGCAACTATCTCCCGGTATGCCCTGCGGAGGACCTTAAGGTCCATAAATAACAACACCTTGGAAGTCCCAAGCCCCAAGGAGGTTAGATTGGCCTCAACCAGGGCCAGGGCCTTTTCAGCTCTGGCCCTGGCCTGGTGGAACGCCCTACTGCAGGAGATCAGGGCCCTGCAGGATTTGACACCTTTCCATAGGGCCTGCAAGGTGGAGCTGTTCCGCTTGGCCTTTGGGCTGGACTCAGTCTAACCCCCCCCCTTATTTATTTATTTTTTTTGAATGGAACCCCTTATATGGGATTTGTATATAAATTTTCCCTCAGCTCTTTTTGCTGACCCATGTAGGACCAGCATGGATAGTTGGCCCCGGTGAATATTTGACGTTTTCTCCCCTTATGGCTTTGATCTATAGGATACCACTAAAACGAGGCTGCATTTTAAGCTGCATTTTAAACTGTATTCTAACTTATATTTTAATCAACTCTTTTATTTTTAATGTTTTTACTATATTTATATTCAGTGTTAGCCGCCCTGAGCCCGGTTTTGGCCAGGGAGGGCGAGGTATAAATAAAATTATTATTATTATTATTATTATTATTATTATCTCAGTGGAACTATAGCTGAGGCTCTGAGTGTGTTGGAATTAAAGGTTTTTCAGGTTCAAAGGTGCCCTGTTCTCTCCACAGTTCCTTGCACAGATAAAACAGGAATCCCTTTAAATAAAGTAACTAAGTGAAGATGAAGGGACGTGGGTGGCGCTGTGGGTTAAACCACAGAGCCTAGCACTTGCTGAACAGAAGGTTGGCGGTTCGAATCCCCACAATGGGGTGAGCTCCCGTTGCTCAGTCCCTGCTCCTGCCAACCTAGCAGTTCGAAAGCACGTCAGAGTGCAAGTAGATAAATAGGTACCGCTCTGGTGGGAAGGTAAACGGCGTTTCCGTGCGCTGCTCTGGTTTGCCAGAAGCAGCTTAGTCATGCTGGCCACATGATCCGGAAGCTGTACGCCGGCTCCCTCGGCCAATAAAGCGAGATGAGCGCCGCAACCCCAGAGGTGGCCACGACTGGACCTAATGGTTAGGGGTCCCTTTACCTTAAGTGAAGATGAGGCAACACTGAATTCGCTGTGCTAAAGTGAGGAACCACAAATGATTCTCCCTGCAGCAACTTCTATTAACTACAGATGAAGTGATACAATAGTTCCTCCTCCTCCTTCTCCAAAAAATAATTTTTCTTAAAGATTTTCATTAACTACAAAAGAACATGCAATCTCTCTTTTTTTTAATCAAATTAAAAAGTGTTTTGGTTGCTTTCAATGTAAGACAATATGATATCCAGAGGTAGGGGAGAGAGTGGGTGATAAACTTGCACACTATTTTTTCCCCTTGTTTTTCCAACTTGCTATATGTGTGAGGTTTTTATGTCAGCATCATTTGGGTAGGTTCTCTTCTGTACATTGGTTGGTTTACATGGGCAGTGAGAAGGAGCCCCAAGGTGTGGTTGTTGGCCTTTGATTGACTGCCGCGAGATTCATTTCCGTGTGTGGAAGGTGGGCAACAATAGCTCCTTCTGTGTGTTTTGGTTTTAGTTGCGGCGCCATAATTATACTATTACCTGTTTTTGTTTTCAGCGCAAAGGATGGAGTGTTTCGAAGATACCGTGGCTTGAGGACGCTGGAGGATTTAGAAACCTATATCCTGGAGAGAAAGTGGGAAGCTGTAGAACCTGTGGCCGGATGGAAGTCCCCCTCATCTATTACGTAATTGCGTTACAGCACCTTGCCTTGTTGAAATTGCATCTTTATATATTTTTGCAGGGGTGGGGGGAGTTGAAAACTAGCTTTAGTTATTCTAGCTCAGGGGTCAGCAAACTTTTTCAGCAGGGGGCCGGTCCACTGTCCCTCAGACCTTGTGGGGGGGGGGCTGGGCTATATATTTTTTGGAGGGGGAATCAACAAATTCCTATGCCCCATAAATAACCCAGAGATGCATTTTAAATAAAAGGACACATTCTACTCATGTAAAAACATGCTGATTCCCAGACCGTCCACAGGCCGGATTTAGAAGGCGATTGGGCTGGATCTGGCCCCCAGGCCTTATTTTGCCTACCCATGTTCTAGATCCTTAACATTTAGGGTGACTTTCTGTGGTGTGTATTTTCCCAGCCTGGCTACCACTCACTGGTAGGGAATGTGCCACCCTTGTGACATCAGAAAAGAGGTAATTGTTCTATATGTCATGGAATGAGTGATTTGAACGTTCTCTTGCTGTTCAGACAGTAGCCACGTGCTTGTAGCAACTAAGTGTATTTATATTATTTTTAATAAATTTATTCATTCGGTTTTTCAAATTAAAGTTTTACAATCAGATATCCAACATACATCATAAAAACAAGATGTCAAAGAATCTCCTGGACTCCCCTCCTCCACTTTGTGGGTCCTATTGTTAATCATTTCCCCCTGCATCTTTTATTATAATCCAAATCTTTTACATCTCCATTATATCTAAAATTCACCATTAAAACTACAAGTGTTATAAAAACTCCTACTATCAATTTTAACTCTTACAATGGTATTTAAGATAAATTTTAATTTCCCCCCATTCCTTATTAAAATTTTGGTCTTCCTGATTTCTTATTCTTCCAGTCATTTTTGCCTTTTTGGCATAATCCATCTGCCATTCTTATCTAGTCGGAACTTTTATCTTCTTTCCATCTCTGGGCCAATAACATCCGTGCAGCCGTGGTCGCATACATAAATAATCTTTTCTGCTCCATTGGGATTTTGGCACCTAGAATTCCTAAAAGAAAGCCTTCAGGTTTTTTAGAAAAAGTTATTGTAAACGTTTTTTTCAATTTATTATATATCATTTCCCAAAATTCTTTTACTACCTTTAAGTGTATTAATATTGAGTAGTGAGACCCAATGTGGATAAAAAAAGGTGATAAAATAGTAATGATAAAATATGAAGCACAGTAGAGCACAATTGAGTAATGAGGCACGGTTGTTGCAGTTTTTATGTAAGAGCTGAGAAACCGGTCGCTTCTCTGTGAAAATCTTTTTAACTCTTTGTGCGAAACTGTCATAGGAAGGTAAGAATCTTCTGCAGTGATCTATGAACTATTACATACAGTCAAATGACTTGTTCTAGTCTTCAGAGCACATCACCTAGCTTTTGTTGTTGTTGTTGTTTAGTCGTTTAGTCGTGTCCGACTCTTCGTGACCCCATGGACCAGAGCACGCCAGGCACTCCTGTCTTCCACTGCCTCCCGCAGTTTGGTCAAACTCATGCTGGTAGCTTCGAGAACACTATCCAGCCATCTTGTCCTCTGTCATCCCCTTCTCCTTGTGCCTTCAATCTTTCCCAACATCAGGGTCTTTTCCAGGGAGTCTTCTCTTCTCATGAGGCGGCCAAAGTATTGGAGCCTCAGTTTCAGGATCTGTCCTTCCAGTGAGCACTCAGGGCTGATTTCCTTCAGAATGGATAGGTTTGATCTTCTTGCAGTCCATGGGACTCTCAAGAGTCTCCTCCAGCACCATAATTCAAAAGCATCAATTCTTTGGCGACCAGCCTTCTTTATGGTCCAGCTCTCACTTCCATACATCACTACTGGGAAAACCATAGCTTTAACTATACGGACCTTTGTTGGCAAGGTGATGTCTCTGCTTTTTAAGATGCTGTCTAGGTTTGTCATTGCTTTTCTCCCAAGAAAAGAAGATGAAGCTGAGGGGCTCATCTTCCAGCGTCATAACTTTTATATGCCTGTTGTTTTTGTCTATGGAGTTTTCTTGGCAGGGATACTGGAGTGGCTTTCCGGTTCCTCCTCCAGGTGGATCACGTTTGGTCAAAACTCTCACTATGACCTGTCCATCTTGGGTGCCCTGCTCGGCATAGTTCATAGCTTCTCTGAGTTATTCATGCCCCTTTGCCATGGCAAGGCAGTGATCCACAAAGGGGACCTAGCTCTTATAATGGTTAAAAAACATAATTTCTGTCATTATCCTTTACTACACTGTTAAATTATGGTGTAGATGGTCAAAGATTAGTGCAGATCAAGAAGGATGTGACATAGAACATGTAAGAATACTTAATTTGTCGTGCTTTATCCATTGACATTGGTATAAACCAGATATTTGTTCTTTATTAGGATGCATGGAATGGCAGGACTCTTCCATTTATCTGCATGGATCAGGGTGAGTAAATGTTCCCCAATTAATTCTGTATCATAAGTAGCTTGCACAATGCATTGGCAATGGCATTGTCATGAAACTAATGGTATAACCCCATACTTAATGCTAACGAAATGTGAGGTTAGCTCTGTATCCCGTGGAGAAGCCTTTGTACTTTTCAGAACTCAGTTCATACACTGTTGGCTGATTTACTTTATTTCAGCTATATAGTAAATTTCAAAACGGTGGTGGGTTATCATATCAGAACGTCTATACTCTGGTAATTGAACACTAGCTGTTGGAATGGGAAATTTATGAGGCTGTCACAAGCAAACCCTTGGAAAGGACTCATATTTACCATATTGCATGCTTAAATTCTAGTCACCAGAATATTCTGCAAGAGGCTTTTTTTTAAAAAAGCAAGGAGTACAATTTCCACTCTGATAATTACAGTGTGCAGTGACATTAACTATTTTGTAACTGGCTTTAATTTTTTACCAACCTTCATTTATTTATTTTCATAATTTATATAATGACCTTCAGTGTAAGTTTATGTTCCCAGGGGGGCTAACAGTGCTGTAAGAAACAATCACGGGGAGACGTGGCTAGTCCTGACATAGTTAGGTTTTAAGTGGAAATTAAAGGCATGCCTGTTTTTCCAGGCTCTTGGTAGATAATGTAGACAAGAATTTACTGCAGAGAGTGTTGTTTATCTTTTGCTGTTTTAGCTGCTGGTTGAGGTGTTATTTTTTAAAATAATATTATTGCTGTATTACATTTTATCATGTTGCACTCTGAGAAAGGAAGCCTGGGGTGTTGATGTTGTTGTTGATGACAGTGCTGCAAAAAAACAGAAAATAAACTATGCAAATTAACACAGTAGCTGTCCATCCAGATAGAGTAGCTTAGGTTTTATTATTTACCATACTTTTCCGTGTATGACTAGGTGTTTTTTTTTTACTAAAAAAATAATGTTTAGAAAGGGGGGCGGTGGTCTTATACATGGGGGCAATTTCCCCCCATTTTCTTAATTCTGAGTCCTCCAAAATATATACTGTATTTTTCACTCTATAAGACGCACCAGACCACAAGACGCATCTAGTTTTTGGAGGAGGAAAACAAGAAAAAAAATATTCTGAATCTCAGAAGCCAGAACAGCGAGAAGGATCGGTGCACGGTGAAAGCAGCAATCCCTCTTGCTGTTCTGGCTTCTGGGATAGCTGTGCAGCCTGCATTCGCTCCATAAGACGCACACACATTTCCCCTTACTTTTCAGGAGGGAAAAAGTGAGTCTTATAGAGCAAAAAATACGGTATATATATATATATATATATATATATATATATATACACACACACACACATATACATATATATATATATATATATATGGGCGTGTTATACACGAAAAAATACGGTAAGTTAAAAAATGTGGTTATAGCCAGTTATGTCAATCCACGAGTGGGGAAAAAAATGCCTTTCCTCTCCTGTCCTCTCCTTCCAGCCCCGCCCTTGTAACCCCTCCACAGACTTGGGAGAATAAAGGGAAGTCTTGTTACACAAGTAGGTTTCAGCACAGGCTGTCTGCTAATGTGAGCCGTCCTTAAAGCCTGGGCAGCAGAGATGTGTTAAGTCTGTATGATAACAATAGTAAAATTTATATCTGATCAGCATGGATTTGGACTGCATGGTTTTGCTAGACCTGTTAACTGCACTTCAACACACAATGTGTGTTTTACTGCATGTTGTTGTTGTTTAGTTGTTTAGTCGTGTCCGACTCTTCGTGACCCCATGAATCAGAGCAAGCCAGGCACTCCTGTCTTCCACTGCCTCCTGGGGTTTAAATTTAGAATTCTTTGTACTATTAAAGTTATAACGGAAAACATGGTCATAATCCTCCCCCCCCCCCCCGCAAGCAGAAATGCTTGTTCAGATGACTTACTTGTGATAGATAGCTGTTCTTGTGAAAGAAGTCTTGCCATCCGTCCAAAACATAATATGGGAAATATCAGTAAATATGTATGGTTTCTATTCTTATCTGTGGAATATAAACCATGTGACATTTTTAGACAGGCCCAAAGGCAAAATTGCATGGCATGAAATTATAATTATAATAAGTGCAGAGCTTGTTACTGCTTTCTGAGGGGGTGTTCATCCAGAGAAATCTATCATTACATCATTCTGGCCTGCCTACGGTCAGATTAATTTTCTGGCAAATTGTAACTGTGATGGTGCTTGCATGCAAATTCAGGGTTTAGATCAGCTTGTTTTCCAGTTGGTGTTGAACGGTTGGACCATAGTACAACAGGTGAGGTGTAAGGAAGCATTTTATCTATAAGCTGCACATTTGTATATTGAGTGAGATGATGAATACTAACACCAGCTATATTGATACTATTCTGTTTCCTGGTGTCTGTGAGATAGCATTTTTGACCATTTAAACCACTTTAAGTTAGAGGAAATGTGGAATTCTATAAATGTGTTCTGTAACCATGTGAGTTGTTACTTAAGATTGTTTCTTAGGATGGAGATGGTCAGCTTGATATTGATTGATATTAATTGTTAATGATGAATTGGGGGGAATGAAGTCCTCAGGGATTACTTAAAAAATCAAAAAGCCTCATTAGGGAGACAAAAGACTAAAGACCCAGAAGAAAAAAAGAATAGATTTGCATATAATCTGAGTCCCAATTTGTATTTCTGGTCTAAAAGAACTGGTTTTCCACTCTGTCTTCTGGTGCAAAGTATATAGGCTTTTCATCACAGAAATGCCAAAATGACATTACTTTGCAGTCATCCTAGCAAATATTAGTTTTCGATGGATGTTCAGACTGTGTGCAACTCATTTGAAACTGCTTCAGACTAGTAAGAATTTGTTTTCTCTTTTGGTTAGTGACTAAGGATTTTTTTGAAAGTAAAGACGATCAATTGATTTGTCTGAATGTCATGTCCAGTACTAAAATTCCACTTTTATTTTAAGCTGTTTGTTTGTCTCCTTTTATAGCAAATCCACAACTACTTAACAGTCACTCTTGGAATTCACGTTTGGGGTTCTTATGCAGTCTTCATATTGGCCACTTTATTGATTGGTCTAATCCTGGGCTTGGTAAGATTTTTTTATATATATTATTAAACAAAATTGTAGGCAGTCTTTACTGTAGATAATATAGCAGTCACATCAGCCTGGAAGTTTGTAGTGAGCTTAGCCATTTGTGATTTTTAAGTGTTAAGTTTCACCTTCCATCCTACCATTCAAATAAGAATTGTGGAAGATACATGAGGTCTAGAATACTGACACTTTACTAGAGAGGAAGAAGAGATCCTCAGTTCATTAGGGGAGTAAGAGAAAGGCCGATTCCAGAACAAGCACAGATACAGGCTTGAGACAGTTTTGACGCACTTTCCCTATGTGCTGTCCCTGAAATAAACTGCAGGCTAGAACACCTTAAATTGACATCTAACAACTGAATCCTGTGTTCGTTTTTTCACCCTTCAAAAACGAGTCACACTATCTCCCAAATAGGCATGCATAGGATTGCAAATTATTCAGCCTACCATTTTAAAGCAAAGTGTAGCCTTTCAGGAGATAGTTCAAGGTGGGCTTGGGCAGCTTGCAGGCCAAGTTGGGTACAGCGGGGGTCAGTTTGGCCCATGAGGCCATTTCCCCTAAGCCAGGCTAACCTGCCCCACACCTGAAGTCATATGTGACATTGGGTGGGGCAACGAAAGATGTGGCTGCAAAGGAACAGTAAGGAGTGTGCACTCCTCATTGTTCCTTGGCGAGTAGGGCTTGTTGACAGTGCTGAAGAGCTGATTGGCGCCCCACTAGGATTGACTGTACTGCCACATTCCTACTTAAAAACTCCCTAGGGCAGTTTGCTCTTGATGCCAGTCAGATGCTTGCCTCTAAATGCTACACATGAGCAAGGGACAAACACACTGAGAGCCATACCCTCTGCATTGCTCTGTCTGCCATCTGATCAGGGACGCGGGTGGCGCTGTGGTCTAGACCACTGAGCCTCTTGGGCTCGCTGATTAGAAGGTCGGCAGTTCAAATCCCTGCAATGGGGTGAGCTCCTGTTGCTCTGTCCCAGTTCCTGCCAATCTAGCAGTTCGAAAGCACGCCATTGCAAGTAGATAAATAGGTACCGCTGCGGCGGGAAGGTAAACGGTGTTTCTGTGCGGTCTGGTTTCTGTCATGGTGTTCCGTTGCACCAGAGGCGGTTTAGTCATGCTGGCCACATGACCAGGAAAGCTGCCTATGGACAAACGCTGGCTCCCTCGGCCTGAAAGCGAGACGAGCGCCACAACTCCATAGTCGCCTTTGTCTAGACCAGGCTTCCTCAACCTCAGCCCTCCAGATGCTTTGAGACTACAATTCCCATCATCCCTGACCACTGGTCCTGCTAGCTAGGGATCATGGGAGTTGTAGGCCGAAAACATCTGGAAGGCTGAGGTTGAGGAAACCTGGGCTAGACTTAACCGTCCAGGGGTCCTTTACCTTTTTACTTTAACTTTGCCTGCCATCTTCCATGAGGTTGAGGGTGAAGTAGGAAGGAGACAGCCTACTCTGCCTGTGGAAACTTTTTCTACACCATTTAGACCCCTGAACTCCTCAGGGTTCTCAACTGTGTGAGTAGCCTGCAGGAATTGATTTGTGAGTTGCACATTAGAATAAGTCATTCCACTTACTATGAATCATTTCTCCTTATTTCCTGTGGTCCTTGTCATACGTACCTGATTTAATGTTATGTTGCTTCATTCCTGTAAAAACCCCGCTTTTCCTCTCTAGAGGATACCATAAAATGCTTTCACAAATGTTAATGTTCTTCTTCTGTTGCAGAAGTAAGGTGTATGAAGGCTAAAATTAGTTGATCTTTTGCATTTTTAATATGTGGGGATTTGGGTAAGCTTGGTTTGTATCTAATTTTTGCTGATGCACCTGGAATTGTTAAAACCCAGCAAAAAAGGGAACAATTTAAGGGGAACGCTTTGGATCACCTCCTGCAAAAGGGTGGAGGTCATGTGAGCCTAGGGCTCATCATGGCTCATTCTTGTAACACCGGCAATTTGATGGAAGCTTGTTCAAACGGAGCATGCCAATCTGTATGCAGTTGAAAATGTCATGCTCATAAGGATAAGCAACAGCACAGTATAATGTGCATAATTGTCAGTTGTGTTCATGGTTTTCCCCAGCAGCTGAATAAAATTAAATTACAAGTGTGCTAAAGATACAGCCATTGCACCTCTCTGGATATGTAGCGCTGAGATACAGGTGAATGGTAAAACCCCAACAACTTCTTAAAGAATAGCATTCAGACGTGAAGAAACCTGGTTGTGGCTGGAGAGCTTGTGGGTTGTCTTTGTGATACCTTTTCCTTTCCTTCAGATACTGGTTCTACTTACAGACTGCATTTTCCCACCTAGGTCCGAATTGGAAGATTCTGGTAAGTATGTAATAAAAAACTAAGCTCAGTGTACAATTTTGTGAGGCAAACTGCATCATTAATGAAAGGTAGATAACCTAAAATGTAATGTTTTCAGCTGTTCATGTAAAGTGATCAGATTTCTTGTATACAAGTGTTAAAGGAGTTGACACGGCCAGTTTTTGATACGAAGGTTTGAATAGTACTGGAATTGTGGGATACCAGTTAATTATATTAAGCAAGTGACATTGGGCCTGTGAAGAGATGAGTCCTTTTCCAAATTGGTGCAATGTTTTTCAAGTACCGTAAGCAGCATGAGAACAGCTATTGGGCTGGTGACACTGGAAATGTGTAATGGGTCTTCCTAACCAAGTATGAAGAAGTGTGTGCATTTATAAAAATTAAGTGGAGTTGAAGGTAAATAGTTTGCTTGGGCAATTGGGATATTCAAGATCTGTGGCACATTAATAATCTGCATTTTAAAAAGACATTACAGTGGTACCTCAGGTTAAGTACTTAATTCGTTTCGGACGTCCGTACTTAACCTGAAACTGTTCTTAACCTGAAGCACCACTTTAGCTAATGGGGCCTCCTGCTGCTGCTGTGCTGCTGGAGCACGATTTCTGTTCTCATCCTGAAGCAAAGTTCTTAACCTGAGGTACTATTTCTGGGTTAGCGGAGTCTGTAACCTGATGCGTATGTAACCTGAGGTCCCACTGTATTGTAATGTCAACTGTGATCCATAAAGAATGCTACCAAAGGAATGTATTGCCAATAGGTTTGCTGAAGACTGCAGCCTTATTTTCAACTGGGGGGAAATATTGGACGGCTGGTAGAAGAGGAACAGGCAAAATCAGGGACTTAAAGCATTTCCACTCGCAAAGGAGGATGAATAACTTGCATTGAGCGTGTGAATGAGTATCTGCGTGTGGGAAAGATATTAGGAGGGTAGTGGTCTGGCCCTTTTAGGTAATGCCAAGTTGCAAGGTGATGCAGTTAACATGTAATCCCATTAGCAAATACATGGCACGTGTGGTCTGCTTCTTCACAGCAAGCATAAGAAGAATCTCAGAATATAGGAGAGCCACCAGATGGAGGCTGTTGAAGATTTTAAGTTTAACAGCAACTTTAACATAATGTAAACCAGTTTTTTCCCCTCAATTCTTCCTGCCAACAGACTTGGTGGACCGCAGTGATGATAAAACAGAGGAGCAACAGGAGACAGCAGAGCATATAGCCGAAGAACCAGTTGCAGAAAAAGGTTTGTCTGATGGAGAAGATGAGGAAGATGAGTCTCAGGGAAACTCTTCGGAGGACTCTGCAGTTGAAGGATCTGAGACTGAAAATGACTCTGAGCACCATGCATCTGACAAAGTGGAGCAAAGCTCTCTAAGGCAACGTAAAAACCAGGTGGAGGCTGATGGACTATAGTGCAATTAGCTGTGTATGTACTTTTATCTGGACCAAAGAAGCATCGGGGACCATCCTTGATTGCAGCTGAAGCCAAACACTTGACCTGTAAACTGTTACAGCTAAATCCATTCTTTGCGTCAGAAGGCTGCTTGCTGTCATTGTCTTTAGGGCCAGTAATTTCTGGAAGATACATTTTTAATGTTCAGATTGAAGCCATGACAATCACGTAACTTTGATTTTGTACTAGATGATGGTGTCGATGAGAGGTGTTAAATTTTGGCTAGGATGCCATAAGCAAGGCACACTGTACACAGATACAATTTTTGTGTTTCAGTATTATGTGCTTACAGATTTTAGTTAATCTAAGGCATGCTTTGGTCTTTGTTGGCACAAGCTAGTCAGCCATGGTATTCAAAGCTTTCTGTAAAAACCCTATAGTAGTTCCTTGTTAGATATAAGGCAGCTTCCATTATTATCAGTGAAGAATTCACTTGCATATACATGCAGTGTACCATTATTTTTGAAGTGGTTAAATGCATAGATTGCATATAAGAACACATCGGAGGTGCTTACCGTATTTTTCTGTGTATAAGCTGAGGATTTTTTATTAAGAAATTATGTTAAAATTTTGGGGTTATCTTATGCACGGATAGTGCAGAGGGGGGATGGGCAATTGGTTGCAGTTGTGAGCAGGAGATTGTCAGCAGCTATTGGGCGATTGTTTTGTGGGCATGTCAAGGGCTGTTGTCGATTGGCTGCCCCTGCGTCAATTGGGCGGGCGATTGGCGGCTTTTGTGTCGCTTTTGGTTTTAATTGTTTTTGAGTCGGGTGAGCGTTTTTCAGCAACCTCACCCCAAAAAAGCTCAACAGCTGTGGGTAATCCCCCCCAAAAGCTCAACAACTCTACAACTCTTGACAATCTCCCCCCATTGTCTTAATTTTGAGTCCCCCAAAACAGGGGGCATCTTATACACGGGGCATGTTATACACAGAAAAATACATTACTTGCAGTTGCCTGGTGTACATCTGCAACATGTAAACAGCACAGCTCCCAGTGCAACAAATAGTGTAAGTTTATAAAGCTACAAATTTTATTTTGGATGTGCTGACTTGTCTTGAAAAGCATTTTAAAACTATGCACTATCTGTTTCTTGTTGTTAGTGTATCAGGCTTCCATATGGCTTGCCCAAACACTTGTCTGTAAGGTGAACTCGCTTCTTAGTTCTCTGACCATATATGAGGCTCTCCAGGTTACTCAATGTGGCTTTGATCATGTTGATACCTAAAATGCATTCCAGCACAAGGAAGATTCAGAATTAAAAAACATTGCTTAGTTTAAAAGAATGGATGATACCTGAAGTGACTTGCAGATGATCACTTATTCCTGATGACCAAAATACTCATTTGATTTAAAAAGGTTTAGATTGCAGCAACTTCTTAAACGTAATGCTGTCTGAAAGAAACATCCGTAATGATTTCAGTTGATTTATTTAACGAACGGCAGTTTGTTTCTAAGTGTTTAAGAATGTTTACTGACTTCATACATCCCATACATTGATCAGTGTAGTATAGCTGTGTAAATATAGCTTCAGTGTAGCAGTGACGGTTGTCACCCTACCTAAATGCTCTCTGCAATGCATTGGAGTGAATTAAGCTTACAGGGTGAAACAAAAGCAATTTAGTGGCAGCATAATTGGATGGCTAGGCTAAGAGAATAAGGAATGCAGAGCAGAGAATGAAGGGCAGCTAATTGCTGGATATGATCAGCTGACATGGCAAGAGATCATTCTGTTACGCCAAGGGTGGCTAATCTGTGGCTTTCAGGATATTGTTGGGCTACAACTCCCATCTTACCTATAGGAGCTGATGGGAGTTGGACTCCAGGCAACGTATGGCGGTCCACAGGTTAACTACCTCTCTAGTAACTAAGTGTAGGTTTAAACTAACAGTAACAACATACATAGTGTCACAATGCCCATCCTGTGGCTCTTGCCAATAGAGCACCTTGAATTAAAGTCCTTCATTGCACTAAATCAGGAGCGGGGAACATTTGGACCTCCTTGCTGTGTTGGTCAGACCAGAACTATTACCTGTAGCCAGCACAGCCTCAGGGATGATGAGATTTGCAGCCCAGCCCATCTTGAGTTCCAAAGGCCAACCATGTGTGTATTAAGCTATGGCATCTCCAGAAACCCTGTGCTGTGTCAGTTCAAAATATGCTGAGGTCAAAATTCTAGTTGCATCTTGACAGCATTGCTCAAATCCAAGTTGTCCTGAACATAAGCCAGATCGACTCAAGTGCATAAAATACATTAAGTTTTAAAACTACTATGTGCTGGGTAAATTGCTAGAATTGCTTTAATGTGCACATTTAACGTATAGCAAAAATACTGATAATCTGAGATTATGCGACCAGAAAATCTTAACAGAACCAATTAAAATGATGTGTAATTGAGAAGCCTAAATTTAAACGTCTTGGGAATGGTTCAGTTGTGCACCAAGTGCACTTTTCATGCGATTAAAGAAAAAGAAAACGAAATAACATGGTCACGCTTCTCGATTTGATTCTGAAACCATCCTAGCACAATGCCTTAGCTGTGTAGCCAAGCTTATTTTTCAGGTACATGAGAAAAGGATTAAAGCATTAGAAGTTGACCTCTCCATGTTCCCACGAAAGACAGCTAGACCATAGCTAATTGACTGTTGTTGTATTGTTACAGGTAGTCTGTCATAATTACAATCTCAACTAATTATGTATGTGCAGCATTTTGTTATTTAATAGCATTTCCATGTTTCAGAAGGTCACTTCATGCACATAATTTCTAAATAAGTGTAGTTTAGCTAAAAACGCAAAGCAATACTGGCATTTTTTGGTTAGGCACTCGGGAGAAAGTACACCAAGCTTGCAATTCTAAGCATGTGTAATTGGAGGTAAACTCTGTTGAATTCAGTGAGACTTAGTTCCAAGTAAACTGGTTTGGAATTAAATTATCATGGTCTCTTAACAAGACAATCATCAATGCTGTAGAGTGGTACCTTGGTTCTCAAACTTAATCCATTCAGGAAGTCTGTTCCAAAACCCAAGCGTTCCAAAACCAAGGCATGCTTTCCCATAGAAAGTAATGCAAAACAGATTAATCTGTTCCAGACTTTTAAAAGCAACCCCTAAAACAGCAATTTAACATGAATTTTGCTATCTAACGAGACCATTGATCCATAAAATGAAAGCAATAATCAATGTAAAAGGTAAAGGGACCCCGACCATTAGGTCCAGTCGTGACTGACTCTGGGGTTGTGCACTCATCTCGCTCTGTAGGCCGAGGGAGCCGGCGTTTGTCCGCAGACAGCCTCCGGGTCATGTGGTCAGCATGACTAAGCCGCTTCTGGCGAACCAGAGCAGCGCACGGAAACGCCGTTTACCTTCCTGCCGGAGCGGTACCTATTTATCTACTTGCACTTTGACATGCTTTCGAACTGCTAGGTTGGCAGGAGCAGGGACCGAACAATGGGAGCTCACCCCGTCACGGGGATTCGAACTGCCGACCTTCTGATCGGCAAGTCCTAGGCTCTGTGGTTTAACCCACAGCGCCACCTGCGTCCCTAATAATCAATGTACTGTACTATAAAATAAAGACAGCATTATAGATGATAAAAATTAAAATTAATTTTTTTTCTTACCTGTACTGATGATAGTCATTGTTTGGATGGGGGGCTTTTATCCATTTCCGTAGTCACACAGTCAATCAGTAGCTGAACTGGGTTCCACACAGTCACGAAAAAATATTAACCGAGAAAGCCTCAAAAACAAAAACACAAAATAAATAGCAAAAACAAAAGTGCCAGACTTAATCCGTTCTGGAAGTCCGTTTGACTTCTGAAATGTCCGAAAACCAAGGCACAGCTTCTGATTGGTGCCGGTGCCCCGGAAACAATAGCAGACAGCCGCATTGGATGTTCGGAACACTTCGGGGGTTTTGGCGTTTGGGAACCAAGGCATTTGAGAACCAAGGTACCACTGTATATTTGTCATACTTAGGATTCATCCTCATGTTGCAGTATTATATATGGAATTGGCACTTTAGAACTCTGTTGATCAGGTTTTCCAACTCTGCTGGCTTATCCTAGAAAGTTTGCTATAGGGATGCAGATACGGGGTAGGGGGAGAATTGCTTAAGTTAGTTTAGGACACAGATATCCCAAAGGATGCTATTGAAGTACCCTTTTTTCAACATGTGCAAAAATGAAGTGTTGAAACCGATGGTCACTTAAACTACTATGTATAAATAAATGCACTATGGTAAAAGGGTTGCATCAGGGTTTTAACTTGCATGGATGCCAAGTTTTCAGTAAATAGAGGGATTAATTGGTATTGGGCCAAGCAAATGAATCTCAAGTTTAAAGCAAATCATTCTGAATAAAGGCAATATTATTTTTGTGCTACTGATTGTTTAGTCGAAACGGTTAGTTTAGTTTGACATGATTTTTATGCAAAAATATATATACTAAAAATGTTCCTGTTTATTTCTTTACTCGCTATATAAAAAATATTTATTACACGTCCTGTGTCCATGTAATTTAATGGTGTTAAAAACATCACATCATTTTTATATATTAATATTCCATCCTTCAGTTTCCCGGTTGATGCTGACCAAAATGTATTGTGATGTAGATAGCATTTAGTTCTATTGATGAGAATGTCTTGATTTTTTTAACCACAATGTCGTTTTCCCTAGTAACTCTAAAACAATCTGCTCTACTTACAAAGCCTCAATTGCACACTTGAAGTGAGTTTGTTTTCTTGTGCCCTGAAAATGCCAGGTGGAAAACCTAGGACCAATATGTCTACACTGCAGACTTTGCTATGTACCTTTAAATTGGTGCTACTGTTGAATATGCAATCTATTTTCTCTGTAGCTTTGAAGGTCAATGGAAATGGTTCTCTTTCAGTCATTTCGTGAAACAAAGGTGGGTGTGAAGGACTTGCTGTACTTCTCAGAATCAAAAGTTAAAGTTTATTGCAACAAAATTATACTAGGGATGCACAGCACAAGCTCTTGAAGAAGGGAGCCGTGTTAAATTTGAACTTGACTTAAAGGCACTTTCAAGATGGGGTTCCAGTCCCATGTGTACTAGATTGAAAATTTATTTATAAACTAGTTCATTTTTCCTCCTGCTATGTTGCAGTGACCCGTTACATCCCTAACAAGAAAGGAAATTTAAATTTAGCATTTTGCAAAGTTAGTTACTATTTTCTGTCTTCCTGTGTTCTCTCCAAATACCACCTTGGCGTGCCTTAATTCTAAAAGTACTTTTGTTCTTGCTTTTTCTCTTTTTTGGCCTAGACTTCCTTTTAAAGGTCTTTTGTCTTATGTAGCCTCCTTGAGATGCCTGTAACTTTTTTTAGACTCGTATGTTCCTTTTATAAGCTGTGGTCTATCGGAGCCCTCATAGCAACTTTTACATAACCTCCAAGCATGCTTCTAGTTTTCCTGGTTGATACACATTGGCACATATCCGAATTTGGTAAATGAGAAATAGATGCCAAAGTCCAAAGCAGTTGTCCAGAAATGTCAACAGGGGGCTTGTCTTTTACTTGGGTTACTTAAAAAAATATATACTGAGTTATCTGAGCTTTGCTTTAATTTAATGATTAACAGGCAGAAATGCAGAAACTTTAAATGATCCAAGTGCAACAAAAACTGAGTAACCTGCATCATGTCCGAAAAACCAATTTGCATTGCTGACTTTGAGGAACATGCTAAGAAATTTCTTCGGAAATCTGTGTATGACTACTATAAGTCTGGAGCTGATGATCAGCAGACCTTAGCTGAAAATGTATCTGCATTTTCAAGGTAAATAAATAAGTTTGCATGTAATTAAATGGGGCAATGGGGAATATGAAGCTCTGAAGCATGTCTGTAATGGAGTTAAGCTGCAGTGACAGTGGACAGCTTGGTTGTCTACAGGAGTCATGCTTAACTGCTGCTGGAGCTTCTGGCTAAATAGTCTTAACTTTCCACTTTCACCGTGTCCATGTCTGGTGGGTACTGAGTTGGAGTAAGCAGTTCGGACAACCGCGCTGTGCGCCAAAGGCTGCTTTTTGAGTGACTGATAAGGGTGGGGTTATCTTGATACACCTGTTCTCTCAACCCAACAATTTCCCCCTTCTTTTCTTCACCATGGAAAGAAGCAACAGCTTCATTGCACCTCTCTTTGTCTCCTTGACTGTTGAGATGAAGGGGTATTGAAGAGAAATGGCCAACATAGGTGCATTATACATGGAAGGAAAGAAGAATGTCTTCCTGAGGGAGGCTTGTATGCCTCTATTTCTTAACATACCTTTTTTTATTCATCCAAGCCTTTTAAATTACAGTCGTACATTGGATCTCAAACGCCTTGGCTCCTGAACAAAATCAGCTCCTGAACAAAACCCGGAAGTGAGTGTTCCGGTTTTCAAACTATTTTTGGAAGCCGAACGTCTGATGAGGCTTCCGCAGCTTCCGTAGCTTCCTGAGGAATAAGGCCACCATTTGGGAGGGCTCACCCAACTGAGAAATAACTCCTTACATTTAACCAGGGTATTTGAGTTAGCTAGGCTATAAGCTTGGGCACTGGGTAATAATGGCATCTGACACTGCATGGTTTCCTTTTGTTGGCCCAGCATGCTGGAGATGGGAAATTGCAATTTCTCCTGACAGAATCCTTGCTTTTCTGCCTAGCAAGCAGGCTGTACTCTGCCCACTGAGAAAAGGATGGAAAGGGCAGGGCCCTACAATCGAGGCCCAATTGGTCTGTTGTATATTTTAATTTTTTATTCTTATTTATTAAATTTGCATGTCGCCTTTCATCCATAGATCACAGGGTGGCTCACAACCTAAAAATAAATGATAAAAAAACAATGTTTTGAAAACTGCCATCACATTACTTCAGAATAATGGCATAGCTGAAGTTCAGATTTTGCAAATGGCAAAACTTGGCTAGAAACCACATTAAGCTTTTATTTTCCGCCATCTTTCTTGTAATATATAAAAATGGAATGAGCAAATCTCAAATACACAGAACTGTGAACCCTCAAATGACTTATGGTTGGAAACCTGCCTTCCTGTATTATCTGAACCCCTGAAGGTCAACTTGTCAGATGCTTTGTTATCCTCTTGTAACAGAAGAAAAATCATTTTGACACACTCTAGGTCCTTATTTTCCTGGATGGAACCTAGGAATTAATCTCTGGCTACTTCTGATCACAACAGCTAAGTTCAGTGTTTTTTCTCGGTGCTGAATAACGTTTTCTGTTAGGAAGGCCGTCACCCTGCGCCTGATCATATGCATGAACTAAGAAATATATTAGCTGAAGAATGAGAACCAGTGGCTGAAAATAAACACACTGCATTCTAGAAGTCTATCCATGCTCTTTCCCATGACATGGATGCAGCAAGAAGGATGTAAATGTAACATAAAAGTTAAGGTGAATATTATCAAGTGGTCACAATCAGAAAACATTTTAAAGCATTGTACTAGGATGCCATTCAGTCTGTGAGTCCACATTTGCCCTGAGAGAAAGGTCTTGCCCCTTGGACAAAACCAAGTGCCACCAGAATGTTGCTGGACTCCAAATTCCCATCAATCTCAGTTTCCATTACCAATGTCATGGGATGATGAGAGTGCTAGTTCAACGACATCCAGAGGACACCATATTGCCAACCCCTGAAAAATCACTTCGGCTGAGCTGGGAAAGCTATAGAACCAAGGAAAATGTTCAACAGATTAGCTTATGGCATTTCCCTCCTACTGCAATGCGCTCTATGTGGGGCTAACTCTGAAGGTGACCCGGAAACTACAACTAATCCAGAATGCGGCAGCTAGACTGGTGACTGGGAGTGGCCGCCGAGACCATATAACACCAGTCCTGAAAGACCTACATTGGCTCCCAGTACGTTTCCGAGCACAATTCAAAGTGTTGGTGCTCACCTTTAAAGCCCTAAACGGCCTCGGCCCAGTATACCTGAAGGAGCGTCTCCACCCCCATCGTTCAGCCCGGACACTGAGGTCCAGCGCTGAGGGCCTTCTGGCAGTTCCCTCCCTGCGAGAAGTGAAGTTACAGGGAACCAGACAGAGGGCCTTCTCGGTAGTGGCGTCCGCCCTGAGGAACGCCCTCCCATCAGATGTCAAGGAAATAAACAAATATCTGACTTTTAGAAGACATCTGAAGGCAGCCCTGTTTAGGGAAGTTTTTAATGTTTGATGTTTTATTGTGTTTTTAATATCCTGTTGGAAGCTGCCCCGAGTGGCTGGGGAAACCCAGCCAGATGGGCGGGGTATAAATAATAATGATGCTGCTGATTATTACTATTATTATTATTCAAGTACTTCCATGCACTGTCACATCACTTTGTAGAGCTCAACTGTTGTGGCATTTCTCAATGCTCATCTTCTAGGTTTCAGTTAAAAGCCTGTGCTGGCATGCTTTCGAACTCCTAGGTTGGCAGGAGCTGGGACAGAGCAACGGGAGCTCACCCCGTCACAAGGATTCAAACCACCAACCTTCTAATCGGCAGGCTCAGTGGTTTAGACCACAGCACCACCCGCGTCCCCGTAAAAGCCTCTAATAAGGAAATAAAGATAAAGCATTATATGGACCAAGCTAGTGATAGCTGAATCATAATTTTCAGTGCCCTGCTTCCTTCCACTATGAGGGCCATTGTTGTCAAGGCCACAAAATAATATGAATGGGGTACTAAATAATCTTTGATCCGAGATATAATATGCTCACGGGCTGGCAAGATGGATTGCTATCTCTTCCGTGTCCTTTCATTCCCTGCCACTGATCAGCAGTGAAGTTGATGAATATTTGGATGGGGAGGTGTGAGGGTTGTGCATGCAATGCAGTAACTTTTTGCTTTGTTGATTGTCGTGGAGTCAAGAGGCTATGGTCTCCCAGGGAGTCAGCAGTTAGGATTTCAGGCTGGTGGCTTAAGCCATGAGACAAATTGAGATGTGGCTGCTTCCCACTCTCTTTGGACTTAGTTATCATAAAAGAATTCTAAAGATCTGCAGTGTGGATGATGGCACCAGCGTTTTTGTAACAATTTGTGAACACGCTGTTTTGAAATCTGCCCCCCGCCAAACAAGAGATAACTGAGCTGGCTTCACCCTCTCCAGGTTAGTGCTGGGGAACTAAAAAAAGATTGTCCTCCAATATTTCTGTTCTTGGTGGGTAAAATTCTATCCCAAAGTCTCCTTCAGCCAGATCGTTTCTTCGAAAATAGATTTTATGGCAAGGTCATGACGCCTGTGGGTCTGATGACATTCAAGGAAATCAATTTGAAACCACATCTTTCAGCATTTTAAATGAGAGTGGGAGAAAATGATCAAACCTCTGATAATCGGTTCCGACACATTGCATCCCTGACTTTCCCAAAGCCTTTGGACAATGAGCTACCCTTCGCTGATAAATGTGGGACCAATGACAGCTTGTTTACCAAAGTTGTTCACACAATGCGTGTCATTGCTTCCCTGAAGCTGAGTGCGAGGAAGGTCACCGAAATGAGACTTTGTCTCAAACATGGTGAGGAAGGAATGGGAGGCTATGCAGAGTTCAAGGCTCCTAACAGACAATGATACAGACAACTGGTACATCGAGAATACATGGTTGAGCTGTTTACTAAAACATTTCTGAGGAACACAGAGAAGCTAGTGGAGGCTTAACAACACACAATGCAACATGGTTTAATGACTTTCCCATTCTGAATGTTTTGGCATAGGTTATTCCATTTCTCAGGAGTGGCTTTAAAGAGCACAACCAGGACTATATTTATTGTGGCATCAGTCTACCTGTCTCAGTGCTTAAAGGTAAAGGTAAAGGTAAAGGGACCCCTGACCATTAGGTCCAGTTGTGGCCGACTCTGGGGTTGCGGCGCTCATCTCGCTTTATTGGCCGAGGGAGCCGGCGTACAGCTTCCAGGTCATGTGGCCAGCATGACTAAGCCGCTTCTGGCGAACCAGAGCAGCGCATGGAAACGCTGTTTACCTTCCTGCTGGAGTGGTACCTATTTATCTACTTGCACTTTGATGTGCTTTCGAACTGCTAGGTTGGCAGGAGCTGGGGCGGAGCAATGGGAGCTCACCCCATCGCGGGGATTTGAACCGCCGACCTTCGGATCGGCAAGCCCTAGGCTCTGTGGTTTAACCCACAGCGCCACCTGCGTCCAATGTCTCAGTGCTTATGCTTTATAAAAAGAACATCCAATTCCAGGGAATGCAATAGGTTGTTGGGACAGGTGAAACATGACTGGTTCCTGGAGCTTGTGATGTTATTGAAATACTTTCTGTAGTTAGCAACAGTTAAGTCTGCAGCCACTTTCACATCATACCTAGGTCTAGGATACCACTTTAAGCGCTCACAACTCCTCCAAAGAATTCTGGGAGCTGTAGTTTGTTTAGCTGTTGGGAGATGCCTGTTCCCTGCCCCAAGAGCTACAATTTCCAGAGTGGTTTAACAACCAGTCCCTCTTCACAGGAAACTGAAAATTGTAAATGTGATGGAGAATGGGGCTCCATAAGAACTCTCAATGCCCTTAACAAACCCCAGAATTCTTTGAGGGAAGCCATGATGGTTTAAAGTGATACTGTAGCACCTTAAATGCATGGTGTGAAAGCGGCCTCTGATTCCTTCAGCAGTTGCGCAGCCTCGGCGATGGCCAAAGTCCCAGCCCGAAACCCCTAATGGCTGACAATATGCCTGCATTGTAGGATGTAGCGTATTTTCACTCCATAAGATGCGCTCCCCCCCAAAAAAAAAGTAAGGGGAAATGTCTGTGTGTCTTATGGAGCGATTGTGTGGTTCCTGGAGCCGAATTGCCCAGGGGCAAAAAGCAGGTTGTGCTTTTTTTTTTTTTTTTTGAAAGAGGGAAGTGGGTGTTGAAACAAAGCCGCTGATCGTTTGCTGATCGGGGAGAGAGATAAGGAGACGGTAGAAATAAAGGAGGCTGCCTGGGAGGGGGGAGGTAAAGACAGCAAACTTGCAAAGGGGGAAAACAGGAAGATTAAAGCAATAAGGAGAGAAATTAGAAGAAAAGGAGGAGCAAAAAACTGCTCCAGCTAAGGAAAAGACACAACACTAAGGCAAACAAGAGGGAAGGGAGTGTTGAAAGGAAATATCTGATCGGTGGGATCAGAAGAGAGATAAGGGAGGCTAGCGGAGACTGCCTGGGAGGGGGAGGTAAAAGTCCATGGATCCTCAGGATTTTTGCATTGGGTCACCCCAAATTCACCTTCAGATCACATAGCATGTCCATGGCTACAGCCAGCACCAAAAAAATCACGCATCCACTGTTTCCTGGGTCTGCAATGGTGCAAAAATGTGGTTACAAAGCACGGATCCACATGGATCCTCAGGATTTTTGCATTGGGTCACCCCAAATTCACCATCAGATCACATGTCTGTGGCCACAGCATGAACCACAAAAATCATACACCCACTGTTTCATTCAGAATATTTTTTTCTTGCTTTCCTCCTCGAAAAACTAGGTGCATCTTATAGTCTGCTGCGTCTTACGGAGCGAAAAATACGGTAACTTGCTTTCCCGCCAGACCTTCTTTACCTGCCAAAAGTTGAAAAGTGTGTGTTGACCCGCCTCTTTACATTTCTAGAACTTGGAACTCGCCACCCAAATTATCCTCTCCTGGGTATCTGCACACCACCTGAAAGTTAAGGAAGAGCTATAGGGACAGAACTACCTAAATTGTATAGAAATTTATTTATGTAAGCTACTACAGGGGCAAGAATGTTACTTGCCCTAAAATGGAAAGAAGCAGAAGATAACAAACTTTTTATAAAATCATGGAAATGGTTTATTGAATGTTTACATATAAATTGCAAACAGATGAAAACATTGGCAGGATTATTGTAATAACCTGCAGTTTCATAAGAGTTTATATTTGAACTAGATAATTAAATGAGCAAATTAAACGAATTTGGATATGCAGAAGATATTAAAAAATAAATTTAAGGAACTGCAGAAAGAGGGGGGAAGGAAGTCAAACTTTGAAATGTTAAAATGATTGCAAAATTAATGAAATGTATAAACTTGAAAAGTATAAGTAAAAACTTTTTTTAAAAAAGAAAGTTAAGGAAGAGCTGGTTCCAGTCCGTACTGGTGGGAGCATTAAATGATAGCGTTTGCTCAGCAGTAAACAAAGACAAAAAGTGCAGTGCAAACTCTGGAGTTTGATTCCCGTCTGTCTGATAAGTTGACTTCTCCATTTCCATCTGTGCTAGGTTAAGACTGTACCCTCGGATGCTGAGGAATGTGTCTGCTCTGGACCTGTCGACTTCCATCTTGGGCCAGAAACTCAGCATGCCGATATGTGTAGCAGCGACAGCCATGCAATGCATGGCTCATGCGGATGGAGAAATTGCAACCGCCAGAGGTATGTTGGAAAACCCAGCTGTGAATAATATAACCCAGGAAGAAGCTCTGCAATCTATCTTTCCTGGTTAAAGAAACCTTGGATGATTCCCCTATTAAGCCCCATCAGCAAATGCCCTGTGCAAGAATTTCCATTTGTGTAGTGGGGCTTTCCTCCTCTTCCCCTGTGTGCTCCCCCATTCATCCTGAAAATGACTCCTGGGGAGTTGGGAGAACCCCCAGAACTTCCAGTGCCTCCTATCAGAAGATGTATAAATAAAGGGACGCGGGTGGCGCTGTGGGTTAAACCATAGAGCCTAGGACTTGCTGATCAGGAGGTCGGCGGTTCGAATCCCCGCCACGGGGTGAGCTCCCGTTGCTCGGTCCCTGCTCCTGCCAACCTAGCAGTTCGAAATCACATCAAAAGTGCAAGTAGATAAATAGGTACTGCTCCGGCGGGAAGGTAACGATTGGACCTAATGGTCAGGGGTCCCTTTACCTTTACCTAATAATAAAAAATAATAATTTATTACTTATACCCTGCCCATCTGACTGGGTTTCCCCAGCCACTCTGGGCGGCTCCCAATAGAATATTAAAAACACAATAAAACATCTAACATTGAAAACTTCCCTAAACAGGGCTGCCTTCAGATGCCTTCTAAAAGCAGTGTAGTTCTTTATCTCCTTGACATCTGATGGGAGGGTGTTCCACAGGACGGGCGCTACTACCGAGAAGGCCCTCTGCCTGGTTCCCTGTAACCTCACTTCTCGTAGTGAGGGAACCTCCCTTGGAGCTGGACCTCAGTCTACGGGCTGAACAATGGGGGTGAAGACACTTCTTCAGGTATACTGGGCCGAGGCCAAAATTGCCTCTCATTTAAGCAGAAACCCTGAGAAAATGAAACTTGAGGATTTTCTAGTTGCTCTATCAACAACCCTGAGCCAAAACAACCATAAAAATCAGTACCTTCAGGGCATATAATTAGTGCCAAGAGCAAGGCTTGAATGAGACGTTAGTTTTCAATTAGAGGACTGCTACTATTTTTGTTTTTTAGCAAAACGTCTAGCTATGAACACAGATTGGATTGAAATGTGAAAAAACACACCCATAGGAGTTTTACTGATGAAATTTGATGCCAAGGTGGTTGGTTTGTCCTGCACTGTCTCGGACCCTTCCCAAAATCACTTGTTTCTGGCAGAAGTAATCTGGGGTTTAAATGTGAACCTAGAATTAAAAGCTTCAGTTGATTGAGCTAGTGTGTTGTTTTTTACCGGAACAAAGCTTTCCCCACTTTGTGGCATCTCAAAACAATATCCTAATCATGGCTGACATCAGGTGTAAAACACACTCCTGATTGGCAGTGAGAGCAAGGCTCCCCTTTGCCAATGCACAATCAGCTGGTTGACAGTGAGAGAGAGCCTTCTGGCAAACCCGATTGCCGTTGACCCTTGCCCCAAACAGGGTACAAGGAATTCTGGTGAACTCACAGTCACCGCCCATCAGCTGGCAGGTTGTGACTTCAAGCTTAGCTTGACTTGGATTTTCTTCCCACGCTGCAAAGGAAAAGTTTGGTGACAACAGATGATTGACAGGAAGCTAGGACCAGGGGTAGACTTTGGTAATCTGTCATGATAATTTGGCACGCCCAAATGGGATCTTCTCAGTTATGGATCTACTCAATTTTGTGCCCCTTGGGCAGGGGAACGACCCGCACCACCCTAAATCCGGCGCTGCGAGGACCATAGCCTCCTGTCAAAGTTGCCAGAGTTGGGGGAGAGACTTGCCAGAGTTCCACACCTCCACACTAATGAACCTCTCTGTGTTGTTTTTTGATGTTGGCTTTTGTCAAATTTGCCAAGAAATGAAGACAACACCATTCCAGTTCTAAAATTCATTCTTACGCTTCAAAACGCGGCATGCGAGTCCTTTACTTCTAATGGTTAGTATACAGTGGTATCTTGGGTTAAGAACTTAATTCGTTCCGGAGGTCCATTCTTAACCTGAAACTGTTCTTAACCTGAAGCACCACTTTAGCTAATGGGGCCTCCCACTGCCGCCGCACCGCCAGAGCACGATTTCTGTTCTCATCCTGAAGCAAAGTTCTTAACCCGAGGTACTATTTCTGGGTTAGCGGAGTCTGTAACCTGAAGCATCTGTAACCTGAAGCATCTGTAACCCAAGGTACCACTGTATTAGAATTGGATTGTGTGGAGGCTAGCCTGCCGGACATTGAATCACGCCAGCGTGGTGTAGTGGTTAAGAGCGGTAGTCTCGTAATCTAGTGAACCGGGTTTGCGCCTCCACTCCTCCGCATGCAGCTGCTGGGTGACCTTGGGCCACTCACACTTCTTTGAAGTCTCTCAGCCCCACTCACCTCACAGAGTGTTTGTTGTGGGGGAGGAAGGGAAAGGAGAATGTTAGCCGCTTTGAGACTCCTTAAAGGGAGTGAAAGGCGGGATATCAAATCCAAAATCCAAAACTCTTGTCGGACCTCAGCTTCCATCAGTCCCATCCAGCAGAGCCAATGGTGTAGGGATGTCACACAACTCTTGCCTGTCAAAGGAACTGCCTCCTCCAACCCAGGAGGGATTGCTCACAATAACCATCCCCCTAATGCTTTTAAGTGACATTGAGGAGGGACAGGATATTTAAGTTTCTGTGACTGTGAGCATAGCAGCATATTTATGTTTAGTAGGGAAAAGCTTCTGAATTTTTTTTTAAAAATCCTATGAAACAGGCATTTCATTCTTACACTGCCCATACATAGACCTGTGGACTTGGTCATCTGGTTACAGATGTTTGTTGGTTATGAAGAATTTGATAGGTTTCCCCGTTCATTACCGTATTTTTTGCTCTAGAGGACGCACTTTTTCCCCTCCAAAAATTAAGGGGAAATGTGTGCGCGTCCTATGGAGCGAATGAAGGCTCTTTGGCTTCAGCGATAGCAATGCGAAGCCTCCGAAGCGCAGAGGGAGCGCTCCCTCCGCGCTCCGGAGGCTTCGCGTTGCTTTCGCTGAAGCCTGGAGAGCGAGAGGGGTCAGTGCGCACCGACCCCTCTCTCTCTCTCCAGGCTTCAGGGATAGCCGCCTGAAGCCTTCGGAGCACAGTGCGAGTTCCCGCTGCATTCCGGAGGCTTCAGGTTCCTTTTGCTGAAGCCGGGAGAGCAAGACTCTCCTGGCTTCAGCAGAGAGGGAGAGCTGCGCAGCGCCTCTTCAGCCAAGCGGGAGGAGAAAGAGAAGGGGCTCTGTTTCTCCTGCCGCTTTGCTGAAGGGGCGCTGAGCAGAGAGGGGGAGGGTTTTTTTTCTTGTTCTCCCCCTCTAAAACAAGGTGCATCCTATGGTCAGGTGCATCCTATAGAGCGAAAAATACGGTATTTTTTTAAAAGTCCTAACTGGAAGGAAACTTGGCAAAAGGCCTCCATACCAGTGTGTCTGTCACTGAGTAGTGTGCTGTCAGTTTTGGCCTCAGTTTACATCTTACACATTCCCAAAGGTACTTGGGGATAATATTCTCTTAGCTTTCGCCGCTTCACTTGACTGCTCACATCACAGGAATCTACTGACACAGAACATCCATTCCTTTTTGAGGGCAAGAAATTTCAAGTGCCTGACAAGCCAGCTCCCTCTAGTGGTCAACTTGGTTTGAGATGTTGCTTTCAAGTTGACATTGTGGTCATTTTGGCTTTTTAGAAGGAGCTGAAACCTAATGGAGGTAAAGTTTAAAGATGGAGCCATCTAAGAGGGAAGGAGCACAATCGTGTTGTTACAGGTTCTCAACTTCCATGCAATGGGAAGTTCCCGGAAGGCAGTGTTGAGCTGCTTTTGGGTGACAGTAATGAAGAATTATGATGAATCTACAGTCATGCCTTAAGAGGGATGCGGGTGGCGCTGTGGGTTAAACCACAGAGCCTAGGACTTGCCTATCAGAAGGTCGGCGGTTCGAATCCCCGTGACGGGGTGAGCTCCCGTTGCTCGGTCCTAGCTCCTGCCAACCTAGCAGTTCGAAAGCACGTCAAAGTGCAAGTAGATAAATAGGTACCGCTCTGGCGGGAAGGTAAATGGCGTTTCCATGCGCTGCTCTGGTTTGCCAGAAGCGGCTTAGTCATGCTGGCCACATGACCTGGAAGCTGTATGCCGGCTCCCTCAGCCAATAAAGCAAGATGAGCCCCGCAACCCCAGAGTCGGTCACGACTGGACCTAATGGTCAGGGGCCCCTTTACCTTACAGTCGTGCCTTGGTATTCGTACGTTTTGGCTCCCAAAAGCCGAAAACCCGGAAGTAAGTGTTCCGGTTTTCGAATGTTATTTGGAAGCCGAACGTCCATCGGCGCTTCCACGGCTTCCGATGAAGTGCAGGAAGCTGCAGCAGCCAATCGGAAGCTGTGCCTTGGTTTTTGAACGTTTTTGGAAGTTGAACGGACTTCTGGAACAGATTACGTTCGAGAACCAAGGACGACTATATTTGCTTTATTTTCTAAAAGTAGACAGCAGATCCCCCAGAGGAGATGCAATAATATATATTTCTATAAAAGAACTAACAGAATCCATTATAAATATTCATGTAGCAATGGCTCCTCTCATGGGCATTTCTATACGGTCACTATTTTCAGGTGGACTCAATCACATCCCGACAAATTCAGGCTACACAATTAAAGCTGGTTTGGAGCTGTTTCAAAACAAATCTCCTGATGGAAAAGATAAGACTTTTTGCAGTAAGGAAAGGGATGGCAAAATGCACTGGAAATTGTGGCATCACACCAACTGACCTCCTTGCAAATAAATCAGGCTGCCATCTAATCTCTCTTGCAAACAAGTTGGCTGAATGCTCACTAAAAGGCCACCTGGAAGCGACCTATATGCCCATCTTGTTTTGATTACAAGGAGTCTCTGCCCCAGGAATTTGCTTGGGAGGTTCTGCTCCACTCAGATGGGAGTGTTGCGCATGGACAGAGGGCTTCAAATGTTTGGGCCGCAGCTTGGAGCCACCACTACATGGACTCTGTGAATGTTGGAATGGGGACATTGTGGTTTTTTTCATAAAGCAGCCCGCATAAATTCTCAATAAGAACAGGAGAGATTGAGGGGAATGGTTTGTTTAGGAAGTGAAGTAAGTTGCAAGAATATGCTATGATTAAGTAGATGTTCCACATGGTGGAGCTCTAATACCTTGAATAGAAACCCAGTAATCCCAATCAACACAAAGGATTATTATAATAGCAGTCACTAGGGACAGATACTTCTGGTTAACTGACATGATTCAAGAATCTCACTATGAAAGAATCTTGCTTAAAGTGTATTTGGGACAGTCTGCTATGCCTGCAATATAGTACATAATCTAGAAGTTCATGCATTTGTATCCTAAATGGTGATGCTATCCTGAGGACAAAAAAAAAAACCCTATGCCTAGTGAGATACAATATTTCTCAATAGATAAGCATTTTAATGTTAAACTGTCACTCAGGTAACCACCGTAGGTAAATACAGTACATAACACAGTGCTTATTCTTTTATTTTCTGTTTAGGTGATCTTTTGTACATTGAAAAGTATCAGAGAAATCAGTGTATTATATAAAATGCAAACTATCAAGTGTTTGGTTTTATTCTAAGCCTTAACTGGAGCTTTAGTCGCCTTACCCAAACAGCATATTATAGCAGTTCAACAATGAACACCATTTATGTAAAGATTAATAATGATGGGGGGGTGGTTATTGGGTTATTGTTTTTAACTTTGATTTTGTGTATTGTGATCTTTTCTGTGAACCACCCTGAGACCTCCAGGTATAGGGCAATATATAAATTCACTCACTCATTCATTCAATCAATCAATCAATCAATCAATAAAATGAATGTACAAGTTCTGCCCTGCGGGGGGATGACGGAGGTACAGTGGTACCTCAGGTTACATACGCTTCAGGTTACATACGCTTCAGGTTACAGAATCCACTAACCCAGAAATAGTACATGGATGACATGTAAGAATGTGATGGAGACAATTGGGAATGTGGTGGAGGGGAGTGCAAGTGTGCTCAGATCTTCTTCCTCATCTACTTGATTAAGTGTAGCTGGATAATCTGACAGAAAGCCACAGAAATAATAATAATAATTTTTTATTTATACCCCACCCTTCCCGGTTCAAAAACCAGGCTCAGGGCGGCTGAGAAATGGGATCAAGTAACCTGTCCAGGCATTGTGTGGCGAGATCCTACAGTAATTTATGTTAATGGGCTAAAATTAGGCCACAACTTTATTGGTTACAGGTGATGAGCGGTATTAGCTTAGGCATTGGTCATATCCGACTATCCGGCTTCAGCCTGCTTGCTTCAAGATCTGGAAGGGTTAACCACCAGTAGGGGGAGTCCTGCTGATGCACATCAACTAGGCACTCCCCCGGGGTCACCGCTCGGGGGCGTGCCTTGGGCCCTGGCCTCCATAGGCTTCGGACGGGGCCACGCCCCCCGGAATCCTTTACCGGACTACCCTTCAATATCTGGGGGAGGTGATGGCACTCCTCCCCCCCCCATACATCTACATACAGTGGTGCCTCGCAAGACGAAAAGAATCCGTTCTGCGAGTCTCTTCGTCTTGCGGGGTTTTTTGTCTTGCAAAGCAAGCCCATTAGCGGTTTAGCGGATTAGCGCTACAGTATTAGCGGCTTAGCGGGCTTAGCGGATCAGCTGATAAGCGGCTTAGCGATCAGCTGTTAAGCGGCTTAAGGATCAGCTGATAAGCGGCTTAACAATCAGCTGATAGGCGGTTTAGCGATCAGCTGTTAAGCGGCTTAGCTGATCAGCTGATAAGCGGTTTAGCGGCTTGGGAAAAAGGGGGGGGAAAGGAAAAAAACCCCGCAGGAACTCGCAAGACATTTTCGTCTTGCAAAGCAAGCACATAGGAAATTTGTTTTGCGAAGCACCTCCAAAACGGAAAACCCTTTCGTCTAGCAGGTTTTCCGTCTTGCGAGGCATTCGTCTTGCGGGGCACCACTGTAACAATACCCATACCAATGCCTAACTGCCACCCGAGCAAAGCTCACTGCCAATACCCTCAAACCTGCAACCAATCCCTAATCCCAGCCATCATACCTGCCATCCACACGAGGATTTCCCAAATCGCGCGGGGGTCAGAGCCAGCCTCTGCATGCGTGATGCCCGCAACACCACCTCCTCCCGAGGTCAGAAGTGGCTTTCTCAGAAGAGGGATACAGTGGTGCCCCGCAAGACGAATGCCTCGCAAGACGGAAAACCCGCTAGACGAAAGGGTTTTCCGTTTTGGAGGTGCTTCGCAAAACGAATTTCCTATGTGCTTGCTTCGCAAGACGAAAATGTCTTGCGAGTTCCTGCGGGTTTTTTCCCCTCCCCCCCTTTTTCCCAAGCCGCTAAACCGCTTATCAGCTGATCGGCTAAGCCGCTTAACAGCTGATCGCTAAGCCGCTTATCAGCTGATCGTTAAGCCGCTTATCAGCTGATCCTTAAGCCGCTTAACAGCTGATCGCTAAGCCGCTTATCAGCTGATCTGCTAAGCCGCTTATCAGCTGATCCGCTAAGCCGCTTATCAGCTGATCCGCTAAGCCCGCTAAGCCGCTAATACTGTAGCGCTAATCCGCTAAACCGCTAATGGGCTTGCTTCGCAAGACGAAAAAACCCGCAAGACGAAGAGACTCGCAGAACGGATTCTTTTCGTCTTGCGAGGCACCACTGTATCGTATGTTTGGATTATAGGCCTTTCAGGAATGGAAAGGAGTTGGTAACTACCTGCTTCTGTGTATAATGGAGATCTAGAATTTGAAAAAGGTTCCAAAGGAGTTCTAACACTTGTGAGTCGTCAGCTCTATGTCCAGCAAGTACTTCTGCCATGCCATAGAGTTGGCCAGCATCAGCCTAATGTACCATCAGAGCTTGGCAAAGCTGAGCCAATTGTTCAATAACATTTGAACAATGGAGAAATGCGAGTTTGGAGCTCCATCACTAGTCAACGCTTGCACAAAATATAAAAGTTGACTTAAACTTGCATAAATATTTTAAAAGGCTTTTTAGGAGAAGGTCAGTGACTGAAGTCATGTCCCTTATTTAGGACTCCGTGACAACCCTGTGTTAACAATAGCAGTTTATTTACAAAGAAAGGTAGCTCAAGTCCAGTAAGTGCTGAAATCAAGGCCAGGGCAACAAATATGTAGGTTGTAAGCAGCCAACGGCAATTCTGAAACCATTGAGGATTCAGTATTTGAGAAATTAAGTAAATGGTGAAAAAATGAACTGAAAACCAATCTGCTGACCAGAGAGGGGAGGATCTGTCAATTTTGTTCTCTCGGTTTCTCATTTCCCCTAATTTTAAATTCAGTTTTCCAAGTTTCTTCAGAAATTTGCATTAAAACAAACACCTTCATGAAAATTATTCAGCATTTTGGTGTGAATTTCTCCCAATAAATGTATTTTTCTCTGCAGTTTTGACTAATGTACACATTCCTTACAAGCAGTTTCTCCCAACTGTATATTATTTTCAGAAACATATACTGATTTTTATACATATTTCACCATAGCAAATGCATATTTGTAAATTTTGATGGGTTGACGAAATGTACTGTGGCTGTGTTTTTGTTCTCATGTAATTTCAGAAAGTGCTGATTTGATAAAATTCACACCTTTGGCTGCTATAAAGAGAACAGAGCAATTCGAAAGCTCGAGCGATTTTCCCACCAGCCCGTAATATAAAAGTGTAGTACCTAGTTTCTTGATAGGGTCTTGAACTACTTGCGCTCTACGTGGGGCTACCTTTGAAGGTGACCCGGAAACTACAACTAATCCAGAATGTGGCAGCTAGACTGGTTACTGGGGGCGGCTGCTGAGACCACATAACACCAGTCTAGAAAGACCTACATTGGCTCCCAGTACGTTTCCAAGCACAATTCAAAGTGTTGATGCTGACCTTTAAAGCCTTAAACGGCCTCTGTCCTGTATACCTGAAGGAGCGTCTCCACCCCCATCGTTCTGCCCAGATGCTGAGGTCCAGCACTGAGGGCCTTCTGGCGGTTCCCTCATTGCGAGAAGCAAAGCTACGGGGAACCAGGCAGAGGGCCTTCTCGGTAGTGGCGCCCGCCCTGTGGAACGCCCTCCCATCAGATGTCAAAGCGATAAACAACTACCAGACATTCAGAAGACATCTTAAGGCAGCCCTGTTCAGGGAAGTTTTTAATGTGTGACATTTTAGTGTGTTTTTGGTCTCTGTGGAAGCCACCCAGAGTGGCTGGGGAAACCCAGCCAGATGGGCGGGGTACAAATAATAAATTATTATTATTGTTATTATTATTATTATTGAAAATATTTGGGAGGCACTTACTTCCTGATCTTTAGCTTGCAGATCAATGGGAACGGGGATGATGCTGAGTTCGTGGTCCACAACATCTATAGAAGAAGTTGCCCAAGAGGCTCCAGAGGCAATTCGTTGGTTACAGCTCTACATCTATAAAGACCGTGAAGTCACCAGGTCCTTAGTGAAGCGGGCAGAAAAAGCTGGATACAAAGGCATCTTTGTGACTGTAGATACACCATTTCTTGGGAAACGCTTAGATGATGTGCGCAACAAATTTCAGCTTCCCCCGAATCTCAGGTACTTACAGGTTGTTGTTTCTTTTTTTAAAAAAAATTATGTTTTATTAGTTTTCAATTACAATCCAATAATAGCCTCATCATAACAATACCAATTTATAATACAATTATTAATACCAATCATTCAAATACTGAATTAATTTGGTTAAAGTGCCATCTCCCCATCCCCGGCGTACTAGATTTGATTCTTTATTTCTTCATTCCAAAAGAACACAGGTACTTACAGGTTTTGGTCAGCTTCCAGCATTCTTCATTTCTTTTGGTGCTCGGATCCTGTACACCAGGGCTCCCCACAGGGTGGATTTGATTTAAATCAAATCAGTTTAAATCACTAGTCAGTAAAAGGTAAAGGTAAAGGGACCCCTGACCATTAGGTCCAGTCATGACCGACTTTGGGGTCGCAACGCTCATCTCGCTTTATTAGCCGAGGGAGCCGGCGTACAGCTTCCGGGTCATGTGGCCAGCATGACTAAGCCGCTTCTGGCGAACCAGAGCAGCGCACGGAAATGCCGTTTACCTTCCCACTGGAGTGGTACCTATTTATCTACTTGCACTGTGACGTGCTTTCGAACTGCTAGGTTGGCAGGAGCAGGGACTGAGCAATGGGAGCTCACCCTGTCGCGGGAATTTGAACCGCCAACCTTCTGATCGGCAAGTCCTAGGCTCTGTGGTTTAACCCACAGCGCCACCCACGTCCCATAGTCCCACTACTCAGTAAGACTTGATTTAAATCATTTTTTATTTTTATTTTACAGAAAGACTCATTCTTGCTGGTATAATCTTAATATTTACAACCAGATGAAGGTTTCATTTTTGGAATAATAAATTTTCAGAGTAGTTTCTACAGTTATATCAAAAATTACTGATTTGGTTATACTATTAGAAATACATTGATGGATAACTATGAAATTATTGTGAGGTTTGATAAGTTAACTGTTTATATTTGGACAACTTTTCTGCTGCACTTTATTGGAAGGAGAAAAATAATCATTTCCTTAATAACAATTTAAACAATTTATTTAACTAAAACAATAACATTATAGCGTATGTATCCATGTTTGTTAACTGATGTGGTTAAACAATTTTTTTAAAAAAAACCTTAGACTGAGTTTTAGAACACATGAAAAATTTAAAACCTTATTTCCTGATGAATAGCCTTTGGACTATAATGTAACTTAAATATAAAACTATCTTTAGAAAGATTTTTTCTCCCAAAGCATTTTATTTTAAAAATCCAATTTAAATTAAAAAACCCAATTTAAATTTTTAAAAATCAGATTTTTTTAAATTTTTATTTTTTAAATCAATAAATTTTATCCACCCTGGCTCCTCAACACTTTAGGGACAGTGGGCACATTTGGAATTTTGAGAGAACACCATGGGCAGCAGTCACAAAATGGCTGACAGGGGTGCAGGGCATAATACCAAATGGCTTCCATGGGGTGTGGCGTAATACAAAGCGGATGTTGCGTCTCCTGAAAAATGTTGGAAAAGAGACAGGACCAAGCAAGGTTAAAAAAAAAAAAGGTAAAGGACCCCTGGACGGTTAAGTCCAGTCAAAGGCGACTACGGGGTTTGGAGTAGTTTGGATTTGATATCCCGCTTTATCACTACCCGAAGGAGTCTCAAAGCGGCTAACATTCTCCTTTCCCTTCCTCCCCCACAACAAACACTCTGTGAGGTGAGTGGGGCTGAGAGACGTCAAAGAAGTGGGACTAGCCCAAGGTCACCCAGCAGCTGCATGTGGAGAAGTGGAGACGCGAACCCGGTTCACCAGATTACGAGACTACCGCTCTTAACCACTACACCACACTGGCTCACATCTTGCTTTCAGGCCAAGGGAGCCGGTGTTTGTCCACAGACAGCTTTCCGGGTCATGTGGCCAGCAGGACTCAACCACTTCTGGCCACCCGCGTCCCTAGACAGGACCAAGCATGTCCCCGTTTCAACGCAAGGGCAGACATCTACATCAGCACCCACCATGCTTGCTGACGGATGGAAACTCTTTGTATATCTCCTCTCCGTTCAGAACAGAAAAGAGGGTAGGTGTCCACTCCTGGTTTCCGGATGCTGAAATCCTGAACCCTAGTGCAAAACAGACACCGCTGGCTCAGTTGAAGAATCCATCTAGTTCAGCAAGCTGCTTTCAGCCATGGCCAGCCAAATGCATACAAGGCGGCCACGATGAGGGTATATGAGAGAAACACCCTCGTGGGGCATCTCAGTTTTGGCATCCTCAGCACCAGGTCATCAGAAGTATACAGTGGTACCTTGGGTTAAGTACTTAATTCATTCCGGAGGTCCATTCTTAACCTGAAACAGTTCTTAACCTGAAGCACCACTTTAGCTAATGGGGCCTCCTGCTGCTGCCGCGCCGTCAGAGCATGATTTCTGTTCTCATCCTGAAGCAAAGTTCTTAACCCGAGGTACTATTTCTGGGTTAGCGGAGTCTGTAACCTGAAGCGTATGTAACCTGAAGCATCTGTAACCCGAGGTAATAATAATAATAATAATAATAATAATAATAATAATAATTTATTTATACCCCGCCCTCCCCAGCCAAGACCGGGCTTAGGGCGGCTCAGTACCACTGCACTGCCTCTGAACATGCAGGTTCTATTTGCAATCATGCCCAATAGCTGCCAATAACCCCGTTGGCTAAGGTCCTTTTAAAGCCAGTGGCTCTCACAATTTCATATGGTAATTGTCAGGGAACTGCCATCAGTGCCGGAGGGAGAGAGCAAAATCCAGAGGGATTCCGGAGAGCGTCCCGGGATTGGGAGAGGCAGCCCATCCTCTGGGGAAGAGAATCAGCATAGCACCAGTGGAGAAGGGGGGCAGATGGGGGAAGCGGCGAGGCGGTCCCATGACTCCTTGCCGGGGACCAGCGGCCTACGCCCTCCTTGCGCAGAAGGCTTTCGCGCAGAGAGAGTAGGAGGAGACTAGGCGTCAAAGAGCTTCTTTGCTGGAAGAAGTTTAAGAAACGCCCACTGACGGATTCTGCCAGCGATTGAGACAGCCATGGGTGAGTGGCTGTCCGGACAGAAAAGGTTCACTCGGGCAATCCAGCCAGGTGTTTGCACTGGCTTACGCACGAGCAACCCCTAGAACCATTACAGTAATGAATTCTGTGAGTTAGTTACACATCGTGTGACGAAGTACTTTGTTTTAACATAACGGAATCATAGATTTGTAGCGTTGGAAGGCACCCCCAAAGCCATCTGGTTCAACCCCTGCAATACAGGAATCCTTTGCCCAATTTGGGGCTTGAACCTACAGCTCTGAGATTGATTGATGATGGTGGTGATGCTGATGATGATGACAACAACAGTTTTATTATTTATACCCCGCCCATCTGGCTGGGTTTCCCCAGCCACTCTGGACAGCTTCCAGCAGAATATAAAAGCATAATAAGAGTTTCATAATAATAATAATAATAAAATGTTATTTATATCCCGCCCTCCCCAGCTGAAGTTGGGCTCAGAGCAGCTAACAACAGTAAAATGATAAAACATTCTAAAATATTTCATTATAATGACATGTTCCCTGTCAATAATAATAATAATAATAGAATAATTTATTATTTATACCCCGCCCATCTGGCTGGGTTTCCCCAGCCACTCTGGGCGGCTGTCAATGACGACAAGAAAACCTCAAATATTTAGGATGCATTGCTCCACACCACGGTAGACAAATCAGTAGGTGGTACCTCAGAGGCTTCCAAGTCCATTCATTAAATATGAAGTATGTGATTAATTTATTTATTTTTAAATAGCCATTTGAGAGGTGTTTTTGGGAGTTGAAGCTGTACTGGCTTTAAATATTGCCGCATCCAGCTGAGTTTTCTGAAAGTGTTTTCTCCCCCGCTCTTGAACTCCAGAATGAAAAATTTTGAAACGAATGACCTGGCATTTTCATCGGAGACGGGCTATGGCGAAAACAGTGGCCTGTCTGTTTATGTAGCGGAGGCAATTGATCCATCAATCAACTGGGAGGATATGAAGTGGCTCAGAGGATTGACTTCGCTGCCAATTGTTGCCAAAGGCATCCTTAGAGGTTTGTTCAACTTGAGTTAAATGTAACTATTGAGGGATATCGGACGAGGCTTACAGAAGGTCGAGAGAGAGAATGCAGAGGCTATTTTTGATGACAAACAGAATATATGTTTTTCTCAACAGCCCTGTTTATTTTTGCAGTTTGATTTTATGTCCTTCTTTCCTTCTCTCCTCACACTTATCACCTTGGTTCAAAGTGTTTCCATCTTGTCTAGAAATGGGAGCTGCTAAAAATCTGGCAGGCCAGGATGAGATGATGTTTCCTGCCAAACCTATGTTTGATTGACTAGGAAGCACTTCAAGATTTCAAGTGTCCTTCACAAAAGGGCTTTCGAGTTCACCTGAAGGCTGGATCTCCCCCTATATTTTAAGCAAGAAGATAAATTGTCTTTCTTTTGTTCCCTTAGCTTTGAAGATGCAAACTGAATATCAGTCTCACCCGTCCTGAGTTAGTGTGAAAGCTAATAAAGGGCTTAATAAAGAATATACGTTATCCAGACGTTGGCTTATGTATTAGCAGTACTGGTCTGAATCATCTCTTTTTTAAAATGAATACTACTATGTGTCCCTGTCTGCACACCCACCCACACCCAATCAACATGTGCATGAGGTCCAGCGCCGAGGGCCTTCTGGCAGTTCCCTCGCTACGAGAAGCCAAGTTACAGGGAACTAGGTGGAGGGCCTTCTCGGTAGTGGCACCTGCCCTGTGGAACGCCTTCCCACCAGATGTCAAAGAGAACAACAACTACCAGACTTTTAGAAGACATCTGAAGGCAGCCCTGATTATTGAGGCTTTTAATGTTTGATGTATTGCAGTATTTTAATATTTTGTTGGAAGCCACCCAGAGTGGCTGGGGAAGTCCAGCCAGATGGGCAGGGTATAAATAAATTATTATTATTATTATTATTATTATTATTATTATTTTGCACTTTGAGCTCAAAGTCACAGAGCATGGCAATTTATTTTGTTCAGTTAATTTAATTTATTCATTAAGTTTCAGTACAGTGGACGATCGGGTTGCGAACGTGATCCGTGTGGGATGCACGTTCGCAACCCGCAGCGTTCGCAACCCGCAGCTGCACGTCTGCGCACGCGCGGGTTGCGATTTGGCGCTTCTACGCATGCGCAAAGCGCAATTTAGTGCTTCTGCGCATGTGCAACCGCCAAAACCCGAAAGTAACCTGTTCCGGCGGTCCGTAACCTGAAAAAACTCAACCTGAAGTGTCTGTAACCCGAGTTATGACTGTACACCTTAGAAGATGAATGTTTAACATACAGTTGTAGAAGAAATGTGCAACATTCTATCTCGTAAGTGTGTAAATTGTTAAAACAAAGCCAGCTTTTTCTTTTTATAAACCGTGAATGGCACATTCTTTAGCAGGTTGGAGCTCTGGAGCATTTTAGATCATGAACTCTTTTTTTTCTAAAGGAATTTATTTGTTTGCCTCTTGTTTCTTGAGAGGGGTAGGTTGGGATCCCTGGTCTTCCAGGAAATTAAATCTTTTGGTTAATGTAACACTTCTTAAGGTTTGGTCCAAACCCATAAAATAAGCTATAAAGTGTTGTTCCTTTTGAAAGCAATTATCTTTAAGCAGATGTCAGAACTGACATTTGCTTGTATCTAACTTTGAGGGAAAGCACAATAGGAAATGGATTGTGTCTAAACTTGCTCAATATACTGTACAAACAGGCCCACCACGTTCTCCTCTGGGCTGCATATGATATATGGAATTAGGAGGCCTCTTCCTTTCTCTGTTTTTATAATTAATCGAAAGCCATCGGAATACGAAATGATTACTTTGTGTGCGAGAGAGATTAAGGTAATCGTTACTGTCTGTATACAGTAAATCACGGAGCAAAATGGCTAGTTTTGATGGGGATCAGTAGAATGAACATTTACCAGCTCTTCGGAACAATAATAATAATAATTTATAATAATTTATTATTTATACCCCGCCCATCTGGCTGAGTTTCCCCAGCCACTCTGGGCGTTTTCCAAGCAAGTGTTAAAAACAATACAGCATTAAATATTAAAAACTTCCCTAAACAGGGCTGCCTTCAGATGTCTTTTAAAGAGAAGATAGCTGCTTATTTCCTTCACATCTGAAGGGAGGGCGTTCCACAGGGCGGGCGCCACTACCAAGAAGGCCCTCTGCCTGGTTCCCTGTAACCTCACTTCTCGAAATGAGGCAACCGCCAGAAGGCCCTCGGTGCTGGATCTCAGTGTCTGGGCTAAACGATGGGGGTGGAGACGCTCCTTCAGGTATACAGGACCGAGGCCCAATAGGGCTTTAAAGGTCAGCACCAACACTTTGAATTGTGCTCGGAAACGTACTGGGAGCCAATGCAGATCTCTCAGGACCGGTGTTATGTGGTCCCGGTGGCCACTCCCAGTCAGTCACCAGTCTAGCTGCCACATTCTGGATTAATTGCAGTTTCCGGGTCACCTTCAAAGGTAGCCCCATGTACAGCACATTGCAGTAGTCCAAGCGTGAGATAACTAGAGCATGCACCACTCTGGCGAGACAGTCTGCTGGCAGGTAGGGTCTCAGCCTGCGTACCAGATGGAGCTAGTAGACAGCCACCCTGGACACAGAATTAACCTGCGCTAAGGGTCTTCCCATAGCAATATAAATGTTGTCTTTGACTTGGGAGACAGTCACACAGTGAACTTTAGTTGCTGAATCGCATTCCTCGCGCAACCTTCTTCAGAAAAGCTGGCCTTAGTTCTATGTGTTAAAGAGTTTTATGGATGTTGCAATTCCCACAATGACACCTGCAATTTGTAAAGGCCCCATGTTTTCTTCCCTAGCCGATGATGCTCGAGAAGCAGTGAAGCATGGCGTAAATGGGATCCTGGTGTCAAATCACGGTGCCCGCCAGTTGGATGGCGTTCCAGCCACCGTAAGTATTAGTAAAGCAACTGAGAGTTGGCCGCAATGATTGACAAATGCATTTAAATGCAGTTTAAGCAATTAACAGCTGGGTTCCCACCCCCCACCCACAAATAAAAATGTGGCTTTCAAGGGTGCCTTCTAGGCATATGTGCTAGCCTATGGTTTGCCTGGGGACACGGGTGGCGCTGTGGGTTAAACCACAGAGCCTAGGACTTGCCGATCAGAAGGTCGGTGGTTCGAATCCCCATGACGGGGTGAGCTCCCGTTGCTCGGTCCCTGCTCCTGCCAACCTAGCAGTTTGAAAGCACGTCAAAGTGCAAGTAGATAAATAGGTACCACTCCGGTGGGAAGGTAAACGGCATTTCCGTGCGCTGCTCTGGTTCGCCAGAAGCGGCTTAGTCATGCTGGCCACATGACCCGGAAGCTGTACGCCAGCTCCCTCGGCCAGTAAAGCGAGATGAGCGCCGCAACCCCAGAGTCGGTCATGACTGGACCTAATGGTCAGGGGTCCCTTTACCTTATGGTTTGCCTGATTGTTGGAAAATGAGCTAAAAGCAGACTTGCATTGTGTACTGCTCTGCTGTCTGCTGCAGAGTTTTTTAAAAAAAGGATCGCTTCCTGATTTACTCCTAGGTTCCGGAGCATAATTTTTTGGGGGGGCACACGAAGGGACCGTGGCCCCTAGGAATTGGCTCCTATGATATTGGCAAAACCCTGCTGTTGCCATAAGTTTTGACTGTCAGGGTTTGTGGATGAAAGGTACTCATAATTTATAGATTTAGTAAATTCAGCCCTGAAAACTTTAAACTGTAAATGTCAGGGTTTGAACCTGGGATCTTACGCATGTAAAGCATGTATTTTTTGCCCTGGAGGGGAAAATATAACTATTTAGAGTCTGATTGAAAACCTTACGTTCTTGAAACCTGACTACATAGTTTAGCTTTATTTTGGTTTTGAGAACAAATCAAGTCCAAACTGGTGAATGTTTCCTTGTGTCTTGTTACACATTGATGAAATGTGCGCTTTAATTATGGCTTGTATGAGACTCAAGTAACAGCACTTGGCACAATCTGCCTGGATGTGAAAGTGAGCATACATATGCGGAAGTGGAACCAAAGTATTTCTGGCAACAAAGCAAAACCTAAAGAGGAAAAACAAGCCCTTTTATTGTGTGCCAGATGACTAGAAACCTCAGTCAGAAAGAATATACAAGCAAATTGAACTTGCAAGTTTTGATTCCCTCTGGCCACTCTGTTTTGCCTTCAAAGAAATGAATATTGCCTCTGCTTGTCTTGCGCAGCATCGTTTTCTGTGTATGAAACATTGGTTTCTACTTGCATAAGCTCCTTACCCATCAACACATTAGACTTTGGAGGACTCTTTGAGACTTTGAACTCATCTATCATCTATCATAGCCTTGTTATATCCAGTGGTCCTGTGCATGTAGTTAAACTGCCTGGTCACAGGTTTATCATCCATCATATCAGCTATCTATCAGTCATCTGTCATAGGTTTCCCACTTCCACCTGTCCCCAGCAAAGAGCTGAATTGCCAGATCTCAGGTTTTGGCGTGCAATATAAAGTAGTTTTGTTGCCTTGCCGAAACAATCCAACAGTCTGCTAGCATCTTATTATTTTGCCCTGTTCAAAAGAGAGGCATCTAGTCTGAGGAACTGGAGTTCCTTCAACATTTACAGTTGATGCATAGCATAGTTTTCCCTATCCGTTATCTTCATTGGAGCCACAACACAGTTCTTAAACAAGAACTTTTTCCCTCCCATTTCACAGGCAAGTGTCACAAAATGAGCTAAATGTTCATATTGCAATTAAGCAGCAACGATAGATTAAAAAAAACCAGAATCTTCGCTGAATTCTGCTCTTTTTGTTGCAGTGTAGTATCTTTTAGGAAATTTGTTCTCATATAACTTTTCTTGTGTTTCTAAAGTCTGCAAATGCACCTGCCCAAGCCACTGTTGTTGCTGCAGGATGTCTCACTAGCTGGGTTTCAGGGGCATAATATGTGGGTGCCAGGGGAGCCCTGGCCCTGGATTTTTGAGGGTCCACGAAGCAGGCTCACTGCACAGCCTGGCCTGGCCCTCCTCTTCCGGTGTTGGAGGAACCAACATTCAAGGAGAGGAGCACTGGGCCATGCCACGCTGGGGGCGCCGGCATGGGGAACCTAGTTCACGCCTGCTAAATGCTGTGTCAGCTAACTGGGCTCTCCCCTGCGCAGGCAGAGCAGCGTGGCCTGTTTGGCTCCAGTGCAGGGCGATGTTGCTCCAGCTGTGTTGGCGGTGAGGGTCGGGGTGCTGTGGCGGGATCCTTCATGTCTCACCCTCTGTGCACCCCTCTGGCATGCATATGTGCCTGCGCCTGGTGCTGGGAGCTCACACTGCGGCTGCTGGGTTTATTCAAATCTCTATTAGCTCTTTCTTCATCCTTGGCTCTCAGAATAATGTGCACTGTTAAAAACCAACCCAATGCACCAAACACAAAGTGCAATAGAGTTAGGGCTTGCTCCAGGATTTGGGCATGGGGAAAAAAAAGGTGGCTTGATAAAAACAAACAAACGTTGGCCCCGGTAGTTTGAAAGTGTTCAGAGGCTGTTCCTACCCCTTGCCCCCTTTCCTTTGCAGATTGAGGTCCTGCCTGAGATCATTGAGGCCGTGGGAGGAAAAGTGGAGGTGTTCCTAGATGGTGGAGTAAGGAAAGGCACAGATGTCCTCAAGGCTCTTGCCCTTGGAGCCCGAGCTGTGTTCGTAGGACGGCCTGTAATCTGGGGACTCGCCTATAAGGTAATTTAAAGCAGTAGTACGAATGCCTGCTCCGTAACTTCTGCTAGTTTACTGGAAAAGCAGATTGCACATTAATTACTGAGTTGGACTCACAGGGAGGGATTCGGCTTATAAGTCCTGCTGGCAGGATGCATTGGATTTTCAAGACTTGTAGGTTAAAATAGCTATAAATCTCCTTTCCAATACACTGATACAAATGTTCTATTTTATGCAAAGCCTTTTCTGCTTTTTGACTAATGGATGGAATTCTTTGATCCGGATTTCTCTCTCTTCCCCACCTTTTAAATTGAAGACAGATGAAAGTTAGTTCCAATTTGGTGATGGAATTCTTTGCTGTCCAGTGTCTGTTTTTCAGCATTCATTCATGGTTTGTTTGTTTTAGCATACGACCAGTCTAGCCATCTTAAACTATAGGGGACAAAGCATTGTAATTATAGCAGAACTGATGCTATATCTCACGGTAGCAGCCAAGTGGCAAGATTTGGAAAGACCACTCAGTGTTTACTGAACAAACCGATATTTTTGCCACCACACTTGAGGGCATTGCCTGACTTAAAGCTGAAACCTCATAATCTATGTTTATGTGAATTAGGGTGAAGAAGGTGTGAAGGAAGTTCTTAAGATATTGAAAGAAGAGTTCCAGTTGGCAATGGCACTTTCTGGTAAGATGCAAAATATATTGGAATTATTGGCTGTGTGTACACTGTACCTTTAAATCACATTCTAAAGCACATGGGATTGGGTTGATAAATTATCGAGATTGCAAATAAGCATGGATGAAGAGCTTAACTCTTTCTGCCCATGCTGTGCTCCTGAGGGCAGTGCCTCCTCTGAAGGTGGTATTTGCCTTGTGGGTGGGAATCTCCCATTGAAGTCAATATCACTGGAGACAGCATGGAAAAATGAGTTCTTTACTTGCCACTTACTTGGAAGTTTGATGTGATTATGGCAAATGGGCTACTTTGAGAGGGGTGTCCAGAGACAGGATCGCACCTTGTTAGTGGTAACCACCCATCTAAGCTCCAGAAGGTGGTGGGGTCTTTCAAAACATGTTTCCTGATGCTGATATGACTGAACATGTACAGGAGAAGACCCGTCCCCCAGGTAAAATTCCTGGAGAGGTCACTGGGGACAGAAAATAATTCGGACTATAAGTTGCTTTTATCTCCCCTGCTCTTTCCTTTTTCTCCCTTCTAGGTTGTCAGAATGTGGAAGCAATAGACAGAACATTGGTGCGAAGAGACCTATGGGCTGCCTCCAAGATCTAGCCATATTTGCTGCCACCACTGTAACTTGTCCAGTTGGTTACAAATTAGTTGACAGCAAACTTCAAAGTGAATTTATGCCTTCAGTACAGGTTTAGGCTGGATTAACAGGCCTAATCTTCCACAAATATATATATCAAATATATCAAGGCATCATTTTAATGCCTAAAGTACAGTATTGGAAAATATTGGCAATACCTTGATAGATAAGTTTATATACTTTTTATTATTATCAGTGTTCAGTCATTTGCAATGAAATGTGAGTACTTATTGCCCAAATAAGAGCCAGCATTGTTCTTAGATGGGCTGATCTAAATACATCATTAATTACCAAAGTTGCACGTTTTCTGATGGGAACTGGTGAACTGCAGTTGCACAGATATTAGTGGCGTTGCTTTGAAGTTGTTGGCTCGCATGACTGGGAGCGGCTGAGCTGCTAAAACGCTAAGCAGATGTTTGGAGGGTGCACTCGATGAAAAGAACGGTTCCAGTGTGAAGGCTGAAAGATACCTCTTTGCCATTGCTTTTAACTATCTAATCCTACCCAAGCTGGGCTCTAAACATAGCAGCCTGAATTAACTCTACCTTTGGCAGCTATGAATACAGGAAGGCAATATGGGCTTCCTAGAGGTTGGCAAGCTAAAGATCTGGGGAAATGGAGGTGTGGGAAAGGCCTTTTTACATGGTACACACCTAGCTATACTGAAAACTAGTTATATCAGGGGAGAAGAAACTCCGGCCCAGGCGGTGGGGGTGGTCCAGGCCTCTTTTTCAAACCCTCAGGTCTTGGCCCAGGCCACACTTCTCATGGGCCTACAGTGGTACCTCGGGTTAAGTACTTAATTCGTTCCGGAGGTCCGTACTTAACCTGAAACTGTCCTTAACCACATAGTCGGCCAACCGGTGTTAAAGAAGGACAGAAGTTTCTTTATGTATGCTACAACAGCAGCAAGAATACTTATTGCAAAGCATTGGAAGACACAAGATCTACCCACCTTGGAAGAATGGCAGATGAAGATGATGGACTATATGGAATTGGCGGAAATGACTGGCAGAATCCGAGACCAGGGAGAAGAGTCGGTGGAAGAAGATTGGAAGAAATTTAAAGACTACTTACAGAAATATTGTAAAATTAATGAATGTTAGAATGATGTTGGATTGAAGTTAAGTGGTTTCTAGCTGTAATGGTATAAAAGAATATGGAAAAATTGGTTTTTAATACGTAAAAACTTGATGTTATAATATATTAAGATTAAAGATCAGGATTAAAAAGGAGGGAAAGGAATTGCTGGACTAACAAACTGAACTGGAATACAAAAAAGGGAGGTATGAGGAGGTCCGGGAAACAAGTAAATGTAAGAGAAGTGATGAAAAGATGGAATTGTTTTTAACTGTTTTTTCTTTTTTGTACTTTGTATTTTTCTTTTTTCTATTGTTATTTTTCTTATCAATGTAATCTTTTTCTTTTGAAATTTTAATAAATATCATTTAAAAAAAGAAAAAAGAAAAGAAACTGTCCTTAACCTGAAGCACCACTTTAGCTAATAGGGCCTCCTGCTGCCACTGTGCTGCCGAAGCACGATTTCTGTTTTCATCCTGAAGCAAAGTTCTTAACCCGAGGTACTATTTCTGGGTTAGCGGAGTCTGTAACCTGAAGCGTATGTAACCTGAAGCATATGTAACCCGAGGTACCACTGTATTCTGCATCTTCCTGGATGGAATGCAGAGGTGTCCAGTAAAATTTTCCACAGGAGAACTGTTAGGGCCAGAGGTGCCATCTTGCGAGGTCAATTGGGGTTGGGGCGCTGACATTGCGTGTGTGAGCATCGCATCTCCCTCCTAAGCTGGACAGAAGCTTCCCAGACTTTGGGAAGGAGGTGCCAGGCCTCTGACAGGATGCTGAAACCCTGTTGCCTCCTTCCCAAAGGAAGCAAGCTTTGGGAAGGTGGCGGGAGGGCTCTTGGACCCTTCTGGGGACTAGTCCACTGACCGTACACCACTGATGGGATGTATCTTTGAACTATAATAATGCCGTTTGTTTGGATGGAGGGGAAAGCAAAAGAGAATTATGTCCACGCCTAAAAGCTTTTGGCTTGAGTGGTTCAACAACATCTGGAAGGACAAAGAGAGAGCCGTTTCACCCACTTTAATCAGGAACATAGAAAGCTTCCTTTTACAGAGTCAGGCCACTGGTCCACCTAGCACCGACTGGCAACTGATCTTCAGGGTTTCAAGCTGGTTTCTCTTGCAGGCCTGCCTGGAGATGCTGGGGCCCGAAACTAGAACCTTCCATGTGCAGATGCTCCAGCACAAAGCTATGGCCTTCCCATCATCCTGAAGTTCTGGTATATGCTTTAATCCGTCCCACAACACAATGGTAGTCTGAGGGTATACTTGGTAGCTATTGACTGGGACTTTCAACATGGAAGAGACAGTTGACTAGACAAATAGTTGTTCATCATAAAGGATTTGCTGAAAAATGAGAGCGCTGGAAAACCCACCATGGCTAGGTCTTATTTCTTAGCAATACAGTGGTACCTTGGTGCCCGAACTCAATCCATTCTGGAAGTCCGTTCAACTTCCAAAATGTTTGCAGACCAAGGCTTCTGATTGGCTGATTGGCCCTGGAAACAATGCCAACAGCTGAAACGAACATTTGTCTTCCAAAAAATGTTTGTAAGCCGGAACACTTACTTCCAGGTTTGTGGCCTTTCAAAGACTATCTTCAGAAACACTGCAAAATTAAGGAATGTTAGAGTGATGTTGGACTGAAAACAAGTGGTTTCCAGCTGTACAGGTTAAAGTTAATGATAGACTAAGATTAAAGATTAAGATTAAAGATGTTTAAAGAAATGGAAATTTGATATTAAGAAGGAAAATTTTAACGGTATATGATATTAAGACCAAGGATTAGGTTTAAAGAAGTTGAAGTTATATATTTTAATATTTTATTAAATTAAAGTTTGGGATTAAAAAAGTGGAAAAGAAACTGCTGGACAAATAATTTGGATTGGAATACAAAAGAGGGAGGTATGAGGAAGTCCAGAAAATAAGTAACTTAAAAATGGAAATGTAAAAGAGATATTGTTTTTAATTGTTATGTTTTTTGTTTTTTTTATTGCTGAATTTTGTGTTGTTTTTTGTGTGTGTTGCTGTTATATGTATTGTGTATGTTTTTTTTTTCTTTTTTCTCTTTCTTTGTTGTTTAAAACCTTAATAAAAAATATTTAAAAAAAAATAAAAAAAATACTTCCGGGTTTGTGGCATTCGGGAGACAAGCCGTTTGAGAACCAAGGTACCACTGTACTGTGTTCCCTGCTCTACCTTCCATTAGGAAGTTCCTTACCACTTTCTCTCCTGTTGGGAGTTCTGAAGTAATGTTTCTGTCACAAAAGAGGTTCTGGGAACCTGGCCGTATGGAAAGAGCTGCGGGAGAGAGAAGGGGTCAGTCTGCTTCATGCTTCCCAGATAAGGGATGGCTGCCAACCCTATCATTTGAATCTCAGTAGTTTAGCCGCTGATTTTAAAAATAAAAAAAAGAAAAATTAAAAAATACGCAGAGCAGATCACTTGTGCACTAATGTTGACTTGGTTCTCACTGAGGTAGTCAATCAGTATGTGGGTTCTGCCACTTCATGTGGCAGGTGAGGGTTTACATGACTGAATGTTCTTCACCCCCACATCCCAAGCCCCACTACATAGAAAACTAGCTGTCAGAGGAACGGAGAATTCTAACCTAGTTTTTGTGTGTGTGTGTATTGTGTGTGTGAAGGATAATTCAGTCATGTGAGTCCCCACAGTCTGAAAAGGCAGAGCCCCAAACACAGGCTTATTGTATCGATGAGAACTAAGCATTTGTCAAACCAAGTATCCTGGAAGATGTTAGCGGATTGTTGGCAGTAATATAGCATTGGCATCTATGGTTTTCCAGATTCTTTAGCCAAAACGTAAGAGGTGCCTTAAGACTCTCTGATATTACTCACTTCTGCTCTAAACGGTGCAAACTAAAGTGCTTGTTGTTGAAACAAGAGTATTATAATTCTTTTTAAAGGCTGAAGCCTTATCAAGTTTGGTTTCCTTTGGAAGAAGGTATTACAGTGGTACCTCAGGTTAAGTACTTAATTCATTCCGGAGGTCCGTACTTAACCTGAAACTGTTCTTAACCTGAAGCACCACTTTAGCTAATGGGGCCTCCTGCTGCTGCCGTGCCGCCGAAGCACAATTTCTGTTCTCATCCTGAAGCAAAGTTCTTAACCTGAAGCACTATTTCTGGGCTAGCGGAGTCTGTAACCTGAAGCGTATGTAACCTGAAGCGTATGCAACCTGAGGTACCACTGTATGGGGGTTTAAAGATGCTTGTTTAGTCGTTTAGTCGTGTCCAACTCTTCATGACCCCATGGACCAGAGCACGCCAGGCACTCCTGTCTTCCACTGCCTCCCGCAGTTTGGTCAGACTCATGTTTGTAGCTTCGAGAATACCATCCATCCATCTCGTCCTCTGTCGTCCCCTTCTCCTTGTGCCCTCCATCTTTCCCAGCATCAGGGTCTTTTCCAGGGAGTCTTCTCTTCTCATGAGGTGGCCAAAGTATTGGAGCCTCAGCTTCACGATCTGTCCTTCCAGTGAGCACTCAGGGCTGATTTCCTTCAGAATGGATAGGTTTGATCTTCTTGCAGTCCATGGGACTCTCAAGAGTCTCCTCCAGCACCATAATTCAAAAGCATCAATTCTTCGGCGATCAGCCTTCTTTATGGTCCAGCTCTCACTTCCATACTTCACTACTGGGAAAACCATGGCTTTAACTATGCGGACCTTTGTTGGTAAGGTGATGTCTCTGCTTTTTAAGATGCTGTCTAGGTTTGCCATCGCCTTTCTCCCAAAGAGCAGGCGTCTTTTAATTTCGTGACTGCTGTCACCATCTGCAGTGATCATGGAGCCCAAGAAAGTAAAATCTCTCACTGCCTCCATTTCCTCCCCTTCTATTTGCCAGGAGGTGATGGGACCAGTGGTGTTAGCTTACAGAGCCCCAAAACTCAGTCCTCTCTGAGGCTCTCCCAGTCTGATTTAAAACTGCCGTTTCTGTTGTGTCCTTTCACACAGAAGGCCAAGATTACATTGTCCTTAGCTAGGGAAGTGGAGAAAGGTGTTCCGGAAACCCAAGGGGTCAGTGGTTAGCTTTGAGAAATTAATCCCATTCATGCTGATGCTGCCTGCCTGAAGAAGAGCCACAAGCATCCTCTCGCTACTGCCTGAAGGACAGAGGCTTGCCCACTTGACGTCCCACAGCACCTCCCAGCCTGAAGCCAATGCAAGTTTTACTTCCCAGGCAGACAAGTCCCACTCTTTGCAAATGCTTTTTTCATCTGCCCCCTTCATCTCCACCTGGCAGACGATGTGAGCATCTTTTTACGCTATGTCCAGTTTTTTTTTTGCCCGCTGAGCATTGATCCAGTGCAGCAGTCGCTACTCCTTTTGGGCCCATTGCAACTTTTCTCAAGGTGAGTTTCCGATGCCTTCTCATCCTCAAAGGATGGCTGCAAATTCCTCAGTGGATCCCATTTCTCTAGAGTACTAACCTCCCCAGAAACAAAACAAGATGGATACTTATTAAATAGCCAGTGCCTTTTAATCTCCCTGCAAACAAATCAAGATGGATGCTCAATAAAAATGCCACTCTGAAGTGCCCTCAGTGAGCAACAAGACCGTAGAATCAGTTAATGCATTTACAACCTTTCACTGAACTTGCCAACTGCAGTTTAGTCTCCAGAGTGTATAAATGCTCTTTGAGGTTAATCCTTGACTTGAACCTCTCCTTCCCACCAGAGGGTGTTGTAGTAGTTAAATAGCATTTTTCGCCGGCAGTTTTAAGAAGTCCTTGATGCTAAATGAAGATGGAATAGCAAGAAGTCAAGCTGCGGCATGATCTGAGAGGGTCGATACAGCCCAATGCTTGTCTTGGTTTGTAAAATTCCACGCTTTATTTACTGTGGGATGCTGAGAGTTGCATGGCAACCGGATTTTGTATGCACGAAGGCTAAGCAAATGTTTCTCCGTGTGTAATGAAGTGTAATTTCTATTGTTTACTGCACTTATCGTATTTGCTGCAATGTGGAATCCGTTGCATGTCAGTTACAGAAAACATCAGAAAGTGTTTATTTTTGATAATATAAATCCAGAGATTGGACAGCGAAGCCATGTGTTTATGTGCCAGGGGGTCTCATTCCAAAACTTTGCCAAGGGGATTTCTAGCCCTTAGCCCAATCGAGCTTGAGAAAGGTTGCCATGTTCTGGCTGAGCAGCAGATGGAGAGAGAATTAACATGTGCCCGATGAGAACCATTTGAGAATTATCGCTTATATGAGCTTATAGGTTTGTTGTTCTATGTTTCTTTAAGCCAGGCTTCCTCAGCCTTGGCCCGCCAGATGTTTTGAGACTACAATTCCCAGCATCTCTGACCACTGGTCCTGCTAGCTAGGGATCATGGGAGTTGTA